AAGGATGACTCGAAGGTTTGTGGCCTGAGCGACTTGGAAGGACGGAGTTGTCATTTACTGTGATGAGGAGACTAAGAGGCACGGGTCCGGGGGGATGTGTGTGGAGTTCAGGTTGGGTTATATTAAATCTGAGAGCCCTTTTTTTTTGTTTTTTTTTTTTTTTCTGAGATGGAGTTTCGCTTGGTTGCCAGGCTGGAGTGCAGTGGTGTAATCTCGGCTCACTACAACCTCCACCTTCTGGGTTCAAGCGATTCTCCTGCCTCAGCCTCCCGAGTAGCTGGGACTACAGGTGCGAACCACCACGCCCGGCTAATATTTGTACTTTTAGTAGTTATGGGGTTTCACCATGTTGGCGAGGATGGTCTCAATCTCTTGACCTCGTGATCTGCCCACCTTGGCCTCCTAAAGTGCTGGGATTACAGGCATGAGCCACCGTGCCCAGCCCTGAGGGCCTTTTAGTCATCTGAGATGCCCAGGGTGTGCAGTACTGGAAAGAAGTGGGGCTCGAGATACACATTTGGGATCAACGTGAGTGGCTAGTAATGAATGAAAGCGTGAGACTGAAGTTATCTAATCATTTAAAATGAGGGTTAGGTCTAGAGCTGACCTCAAGGCCAAAGTCCCTTCCAGAATGCTATGCTGCTTCTCTGCCTCTCCTTGGGCATTCTGAGTTATTCTGAACTTGTAGATTCTGGGGAAGAGATGAAGATGGAAAGGCCAAATGGCCTAGATTCATATGCCAGCTCCACTATGGTGGTTGAGGAGGATTAATTAATACATGTAAGAGTGGCTTGGCCGGGCGCGGTGGCTCAAGCCTGTAATCCCAGCACTGTGGGAGGCCGAGGCGGGTGGATCACGAGGTCAAGAGATCGAGACCATCCTGGTCAACATGGTGAAACCCCGTCTCTACTAAAAATACAAAAAAAAGCCGGGCGTGGTGGCGCATGCCTGTAATCCCAGCGACTCAGGAGGCTGGGGCAGGAGAATTGCCTGAACCTGGGAGGCGGAGGTTGCGGTGAGCCGAGATCGCGCCATTGCACTCCAGCCTGGGTAACAAGAGCGAAACTCCGTCTCAAAAAAAAAAAAAAAAAAAAAAACGAAGAGTGGCTTGCACATAGAATAGGCTCACAAATGCAGATTATCATGACCAACTCAGAACGACTTTCTTCATCAACACTAGCTGATACCAGCATCAAGCTAATAGGCTACTACGTCTCCTTCAATCAAAAATGTACCTTGAGGCTGGGCATGGTGGCTCATGCCTGTAATCCCAGCACTTTGGGAGGCCGAGGTAGGCGGATCGCTTGAGGTCAGGAGTCTGACCTCAGACCACCCTGGCCAACATGGTGAAACTCCGTCTTTACTTACAGAAAAAAAACCAAGAAGACTGGAGGTGGTGGTGTGTGCCTGCAATCCCAGCTACTCAGGAGGCTAAGGCACGAGAATCGCTTGAACCTGGGAGGAAGAGGTTGCAGTGAGTCAAAATCACACCACTGCACTCCAGCTTGGGTGACAGAGCGAGACTCTGAAAAAAACCAACCAACCAAGCCAAAAAAAGTACTAGTCAAATGAGGCCTATTCATGTCACTTTCACCCCAACCAAAATGCTGTGAAATTCACTACTTGATGTACCAAACCCAGAGGTTACAAAAAGTGAATGATGTGCTCAGTTTTTTTTTTTTCAAAGATAATCGATCAACATCTTTTTAAAACCTACACCACGCTGAGCCACAACACAGGGCAGAAGTTATTTTAATCATCTTTCTCTCAAGGATCATTTCTCTTCTGCTGATCTGATTCTCTTACTTGACAATCTTCCCTTTAGTCAAGACCTACTTTTAATATATTTTGGGATTTATTTCAATATCCACAATCAACAGACTGCAGACAAACACAAAACAGCAACTCTTGAGACTGTAAAAATAGAAACCCAAACCATCTTCCTTCCCCCTAGAGATAGTACAGGCAGGAGACTGGCTGCATCTCTGTCCTACCCGGCAGGTCCTTGAAACCTCTGAATTATTCAGAATGACAAGTGCATATGGTGGTATAAAGCAGCATGTTATTACATTCAGGGGGACAACTGGGGGATTAAAGTCAGAGTTTGGAATCTGGAAGGAGAGGAGACAAGCAGTCCACACTGGTGAGATAAACACAAACAAAATCAGGCAAGAGGCTAGTAGGATCATAATTCTATAGGCACTAAACTTAGATAGGTAAGTTTAGTAAAAAGTAAACCCAATTAAGGCCAGGAGTGGTGGCTTATGTCTGTAATCCCAGCACTTTGGGAGGCCAAGGTGGGCAGATCACGAGGTCAAGAGATCGAGACCATCCTGGCCAACATGGTGAAACCCCGTCTCTACTAAAAATACAAAAATTAGCTGGGCATGGTGGCGCGTGCCTGTAGTCCCAGCTACTTGGGAGGCCAAGGCAGGAGAATCACTTGAACCTGGGAGGCAGAGGTTGCAGTGAGTCGAGATCGTGCCACTGCACTCCAGCCTGGGCAACAAAGCAAGACTGTCTCATAAAAAAAAAAAAAGAAAAAAGAAAAAAGGGCTGGGTGTGGTGGCTCATGCCTGTAATTCAAGCATTTTGGAGGCCAAGGCAGGCGGATCACCTGAGGTCGGGAGTTCAAGACCAGCCTGACCAACATGGTGAAACCCTATCTTTATAAAAAATATATATTAAAAAAAAAAAGAAAAAAGAAAAAAAAAATAAACCCAATTAAACAGAATTATCTGCATGGTGAGAATGTGAATATTTTCTTCTTTTTGCTTATATTGTCTAAAATTTTTGCTATCATGAACTTTTTCCTTAGTTTTTCATTTCATATATATATATATTTTTTTTTTTGGGGGGGGTGGGATGGAATTTCACTCTGTTGCCCAGGCTGGAGTGCAGTGGCACAATCTCAGCTCACTGCAACCTCTGCCTCCCGGGTTCAAGCAATTCTCCTGCCTCAGCCTCCCAAGATAGCTGGAATTATAGGTGCCCAACTCCACGCTGGGCTAATTTTTGTATTTTTTAGTAGACATGAGGTTTCACCATGTTGGCAAGGGGGACCTCAGGTATCTACCTGCCTCATCCTCCCAAAGTGCTAGGATTACAGGCCACTGTGCCTGGCCTTCATTTTTAAATATATGTGTTTTTTTTAAAAAGAGCCAGGGTCTCACTATGTTGCCCAGGCTGGTCTTGATTTCCTGGGTTCAACTGATTCTTCCACCTTGGCCTCACAAAGTGCTGGGATTACAGGCATGCGCCACCACACCTGGCCAAGTTGTTTAGTTCAAACGTGCTCAAGAGAAGCAAACATAGAGACTGAGATCATGGGCTCTGAAGCCTGGACACCTGGTTCTTAGCCAAGCAGCCAGGTGACGTTGGGTAAGTTATCTACCCTCTCTACATCCCACGCACTGATCTAGTCTTAAAAAACTGAGATAGGCAGGGAGTGGTGGCTCATGCCTGTAATCCCAGCATTTTGGGAGGATGAGGCAGGAGGAGCACCTGAGCCCAGGAGTTCAGGACCAGCCTGGGCAACAGTGAGACCCTGTCTCTATTTTTTCAAAAAAGAAGGCAAGGTGTAGTGGCTCATGCCTGTAATCCCAGCACTTTGGGAGGTGAAGGTGGGTGGATCATGAGGTCAGGAGTTTGAGACCAGCTTGGCCAACATGGTGAAACCCTGACTCTACTAAAAATACAAAATTAGTTGGGCATGGTGGCAGGTGCCTGTAATCCCAGCTACTCGGGAGGCTGAGGCAGGAGAAGTGCTTGAACCCAGGAGGCGGAGGTTGCAGTGAGCCAAAGACCAAGTCACTGCACTCCAGCCTGGGCGAAACAGTGAGACCCGCCTCAAAAAAGAAACAAAACAAACCTAGAATAGAGCTGCAGTGACTCAGTTCAGTTGTTCTGGAGATTCAGGAGGCAAGGTTATGCGTTCGAGGCCAGGCTGGGCAACAGAGAGAGCTCGCATTCATTTAAAAAAAAAAAGGGGGCCGGGCGCGGTGGCTCATGCCTGTAATCCCAGCACTTTGGGAGGCCGAGGCGGGCGGATCGCCAGGTCAGGAGATTGAGACCATCCTGGCCAACACGGTGAAGCCCTATCTGAACTTTTGTGTATTAAGAAAATACACAAAAAATTAGCTGGGTGTGGTGGCGCATACCTGTAGTCCTAGCTACTCAGGAGGCTGAGGCAGAATTGCTTGAACCCAGGAGATGGAGACTGCAGTGAGCCGAGATTGCGCCACTGCACTCCAGCCTGGGTGACAGTGAGAGACGCCGTCTCAAAAAAAAAAATGTAATTGACACTCAAAACATCACACTTTTCTAAAAATAAATAAATAAATAAAAATAAAAAAAACAAGGCCAGGCGCGGTGGCTCATGCCTGTAATCCAAGCATTTTGGAGGCCAAGGCAGGCGGATCACCTGAGGTCGGGAGTTCAAGACCAGCCTGATCAACATGGTGAAACCCCATCTTAAATAAAAATAAATAAATAAAAATAATAAAACAACCCTAGAAATAACAGTATTGTCTTCCTAGAGGATGAAATCCTAAATGTCAGTGCCTTGAAGCACCTGGTGTACAGGCAATGCTGTCTCAGTGCTTGCTGTTATTATTGCTATTTGCTGTTCTTACACGAGCTGATAGAAATGGTTGCCTAAACTGGACAGCCCAAGAAAAATGCCAATAAAATGAGTTGGATTTGAGGAAGAATCCTAAAGGTCTGGGAAGATACTTGAGATAAAGCAGAGAAACTCAAGAAAGGCGGAAGACTGAGTATGACCAAGCTTACCCCTCAAATCAGCAAACAGTGAAATGAGAACCAAATGTAGCATTGAGATGGACCCGAAGGAGAAAGTTTTCTTTTAAAAATAGCAACTCCTAATTGGAACCAGGCAAGATAAATTCACCACATGCAAACTCATTTGGCTCTTGTTTACCCACCCACTCTGTCTCTCTTTTTTTTTTCCCCCCCACAAAAAAGAATAGACTCAAAGAAGATTTCTTCTGAATGTGTATCACCATTTATTGTAGTTTGCGTTAGGAATTGAACAGAGGACATTGTCTGTGGAGGGGGGAAAAAGGAAAAGAAAAAAGAAAGTATGTTTTTTTTAGAGACTTAATTTCTTCAAAACACTTTATGGTTTCAAATCCTTTTTAACCCCAAAGGAAATTCAAGAATTCAAGTATGTTAAGTAGGGAGCAGTAATACAAAAAGTCTCATACTTGTGTGCGCGTGTGGCTGTGTTTGTCTGTGTGTGTTTAAACTGGCAGACATACTCCCACATCCCTGCACCCTCTTTTGCTTTGGTAAGGCCAAACACATCATACAAATGACCCTGCCTCAAACTCACACACCCAAGGGTTGAGGAATTCAATTACCTCCAGAGGATAACTGTAAAGGTTTCGAACTGTCATGTAGCATTAAAAAAAAAACCCAACCCTTATCTCCCCAGAATACCGTATGTCACGTAAATCCTGATACACTTACACCCCTTAGATTTTGCTGCAACTGCTCCTCAGATTCCTAAGAGAGGGCTTATTATAAGGACCAGAGCAGCAAGATTTTCTTTATTTTGTTTAGAATAAAAAAATCTTAAAGGGACGTTTCAAAAGAAAAAAAAACTGAAATTCAAATTCTGAAAATATCTTGCCTTTTTTATTAATCATGTCATCTAACACCAATTAAAAAAACAAATATGTGAATATGATATAAAAATACGATCCCAGGATTAACACTTGGTAGCAGGCACAGTTACCTCACAGGATATATGTTTGGAGGGCCAGGGAAAGGAGTTTATTTTTGTTTTTGCTTCTCTTAAAAAAATCCACAGCAGTGCAAGTAGGGTCAGGAGGGGGGAAGAAGGGAGAAAAGATTCTTTAGCAGCAAAATGTCCAAGGTTCTCTAATCACAATCAAATCAACGGATATTGGATTAAAAAAGAATTCATGAAGGGATGCTGCCCAGACCCATTAGCCATCACTACAAGATTTCCGTTGCCCCAAACTGTGACGTAAGAAGGACGTGCTTTATTACACACGCAACCATGAAACTTGTCCCTTAAGCTTTTGACCGTGTTTGTCACTTAAATATATGTACAGGAATCGGGCTCCTCTTCTCATCCATGTCCTTTCAGGTCTCAGCGTTTGCTGGCTCTGGGTGGGCCTGGGGTGGTTTGCCACACGTGGCCTCCAACACGTGAACGGCAGCTTCGCCGCGGCCGCCGCTTCTGCTCGCCTCGTTGGCCTTGGCTGTGTGTAGCAGAGGGTGGGCGGTGGGGACGGTTTAGTGATCGCTGTTCTGTTTCTCTCTCATCCACGCCTGAATCTGCTCTTTCAGTTCTGGCACTGAGAAAAGAAAAAAAAGGAGGATTAATGCCCCAGATGGGAGGGCTCTTCCTGAGAGAGGATGCTTGTCGCTCCGTATAAATGGGAAGAAAAGGCCATTCATTCCTTCACTGAGCCGAAGACGGCAGAGGAATGCGGCATGAGAGGGAAGGACTGCAGGGAAAAAGGGCCAAGAGTGTTTTGGGTCTTTTCTACAGAGTGTCATAAACCAGGTAGTTTCTGGATTTAATAAATTTCCCTTCTGCTTCATCTCTGTGATGCAGCTTGGGTTTCGTCTCCTGGCACTGATACCAGCACTGCACCTCCTCTACCTGGTTCCAGCATGCTCTCTGTCAGCGTCTGCCGGTTGAAGGGGTCCGTGGGGGAGTTGAGCAGGTGCCGCAGGATGATGGCGCGGTCCATGATGGTGCCGGAGGGCAGTCGCACGGGGTCAGTCATGAGGGTGTCCATCAGAGGGTCTGCAGGGACAAAGCAAAGCAAACTCTTAGCTAATAAGAGAGCCCAGAGCCGAAAAAGAAAACAAAACAAAGCCCCTTCTATCAGTGAAAAATCCATCCAAAGGAACAGCAACCAAAGGGCCCCTGTGAGGCCCCCAGGTTTAGAAGGAAATCAGCCTTCAATAAAGGGATATGCATTGCCTTTTGTAGAGGGGAAGGCACTCCTTTGTCAGCTACTGCTGGGGAGAGGGAACAGAGAAGAAAGACCCTGGGACAGACCCAGCAGCAGGCCTCACAGGCTCTGTGGTGAGAACGCAGGCTGGAATTCTTTGTCTTAGGATTTCTTGGAATTCTTTGAAAATGTGAATCCTCACTTGCAAAGGCAGCCCTGCCCTTACAATCTTCAGGGCTGTTATCTGGTTTTAACACAGGCTAAGGATGTTTCCTCCTCTCAATTTACAATATGAGCTAAAAATAGGCAAATGTAATTTTAAACAGATGGTCTCAAAAAGCAGCTCTAGCACACCATTAAAAAATTAATAGCACAGGGCGCCCTCTTGTAATGTTATCGATTTCCAGTTAACTCAAAAGAAATCAGCATGAAAAAGACAAGTCCACTTGCCTCGGAACTCGTCAGGAGCGTCGCTGTAGTCGATTTCTGCGCGTGCGTTCTTCGCCACTATCTCCTCCACCTTCTCGGCCAGCAGCTTAAATTTTTCTATCGCTATTGTAGATTTGATCCCGGCCTTCCGCATCTTTGAAATAACTTCTTCAAACAATTCCTTACTGTAGGATCTCTGTGAAGGAGGAAGGGCAACGTGAGACGTAAATGTATGTGAGGTGGAAAAAAGCAAGCTGCAGAAAATATCCAAAGTATGATCCATTTGTGGATTTTTCCCCTCTAAAGAAGCCCTAAAATTATATATACTTATATATATCCCAGTCTTTATGCATTTATAGCCATGTAAAAATGTGCACTTTTTATGCTTACAAATGCATAAAGACTGGAATAATTTGTGCCAAACAGGACGAGGTCACTCCCTCTGGGGAGGGCTGCAAGATTGAGGCAGATGGGATTTTTTTTTGAATTTTTACACCTAGCATGCATTTCTGTTAAAGTTTAAACATTAAAAAGAGAAGGAAATCTAGTCTATTTCAGTCGTTGTGGGGCACTGTGCCCTAGCAGACTATAAGAAAGAGGAGGTGAAAAATTCAGCTCTCTTCCACAAAGTTTGTAAGCATGGTAAAAACAATGCAATATTGTTCATATCTAGAGGAGCTTTCTCCTGTTCCCTTTCACGCCTCCTCCAAGCTCATTTAGTTCAGCACTAGCACATGTCAGGCGCTCCATGGACGTTAGACCACCCCAATGAACCAATGAATAGGCCTGGGAGCAGACACAATTTATGTCCCCAGGAAGGGAAGACATGGAGTGGAGGACAGGCACTCACCACGGACCCAGACAAACCTAAACTTCAATTCTGGGTCTACCGCTAACAGCTGTGTGGTTTTAGGCAAATGTGAACTCTCCCAAGCCCAGGTTCTTTGAGTATAAAATGTGCAGAGTAACATCTACCTCACAGGTGTCTAATTCATAAAAATCACTGCCATGCCAAATAGCAAAGTATGTTGTATTTTGTATTTATAGTAAAACATATATGGCACAAACACTGGCCACTTGCTTAGTGATGACATACATTTGTATTTGCATCACCATCACCAAACAAGCGGACAGTGTTTTTGTCATATATGTTTTACTATAAATAAACAAACAAACAAACAAATAAATAATTTTTTTTTTTTTTTTTTTTTTTTTTTTGAGACGGAGTTTCACTCTTGTTACCCAGGCTGGAGTGCAATGGCGTGATCTCGGCTCACTGCAACCTCCGCCTCCTGGGTTCAGGCAATTCTCCTGCCTCAACCTCCTGGGTAGCTGGGATTACAGGCACACGCCACCATGCCCAGCTGATTTTTTGTATTTTTAGTAGAGGCGGGGTTTCACCATGCTGACCAGGATGGTCTTGATCTCTTGACCATGTGATCCACCCGCCTCGGCCTCCCAAAGTGCTGGGATTACAGGCTTGAGCCACCGCACCCGGCATAAATAAATATTTTGAGACAGAATCTCATTCTGTCACTCAGGCTGGAGGGCGGCAGTGCCATCATGGCTCACCGCAGCCTCAAACTCCTAGGCTTAAGCGATCCTCTCACCTTAGCCACCCAAGTAGCTGGGATTACAGGTACATGCCACCATACCTGGTTAATTTTTATTTTTATTTTTGAGGTGGAGTCTCGCTCTGTCATCCAGGATGCAGTGCAGTGGCATGATCTCGGCTCACTGCAGCCTCTGCCTCCTGGGTTCAAGCGATTCTCCTGCCTCAGCCTCCCAAGTAGCTGGAATTACAGGTGTGAGCTACTATGCCTGGCTAATTTTTTTTCTTTTCAAAGAAGGCGATTATGAATGATTTTTTTCTATTTTTAGTCGAGACAAGGTTTCACCACGTTGGCCAGGCTGGTCTCAAACTCCTGGCCTCAGGTGATCTACCCAACTCGGCTTCCCAAAGTGCTGGAATTATAGGCATGAACCATTGCGCCTGGCCTACACCTCTTTTCTTTATAAAGTACCCAACCTTGGGTATTTCTGTATGGTGATGCAACGGGCTAACACAAGAATATCTGTACATCATTTATCCAATGATACATGTATCATCTGATATCACCTAGCATCCAGAATATGTAAAGAACTCTTCCAACTCAACAACAAAAACGCAAACAACCCAGTTAAAAAATGGGCAAAGAACATGAATAGACGTTGCTCCCAAGAAAATATAGAAATGGCCAGCAAGCACATGGAAAGGTGTTCAATGGTATTTGTCATTAGAGAAAAACAAATCAAAACCACAATGAAATACCACTTCACTCCCACTAGGATGGGTATTTAAGAAACAAAGACAGATTAACACGTGCCAATCAGGATGTAAAGAAATGTAAACTTCATAATGGAAAGAATATAAAGTAAACAAAAGAAAAAAAAGAGAAAGAATGGAAATCTAAACCTTATACATTGCCAGTGGGAACGTCAAATGGTGCAGCAGCTGTTGAAAACACTCTGGCAGTCCCTCAAAAAGTTAAACATGGAATTTCCACATGACCGAACAATTCCACTCCTAAATATATACCGAAAATAACTGAAAACAGGTGTTTAAATACTTTTACATGAACGTTCATAGCGGCACTATTTACAACAGCCAAAGGGTGGAGATAACCCAAATGTCTATCAATGGATGAGGATAAACAAATGGTGGTACATCCATACAGTGAAATATTATTCAGCCATGAAAAGGAATGAAATATTGATACATTCTACAACACAAATGAACCTTGAAACATGATGCTAAGTGAAAGAAGACAGACATAAAACGTTACACACTGTATAAGCCTGTTTATATGAAATATCCAGAATAGTTGAATAGGTAAATCTAAAAATAGGGAAAGAGAGATAGAAAGCAGATTTGCAGCTGCCAGGGGCTGAGGCAAGGGGGTATATACAGGCAGTGATGCTTTATGGATATGGGTTTTCCTTTTGGGGTGATACACGCTTTGGAACGAGGTAGAGGTGGCGGCTGTACAACACTGTGACTAGACTACATGCCACCAAATGGTCCACTTTCAAATGGTTAATTTTGTTATATATGAATTTTACCTCAATAAAGAAGAAACAAATTAAACAAGAAAATGAAGCACTAACTGTGTGAGATGCAGACTCATATTCTGGGAGGTTGCAGGAGGGAGCAATTAACTTAGGACTGACTGCGTGGGAGAAGTGTGGCTATGATGGGATTTTTATTTTTTTATTTTCGGAAGTAGATGCTGAATCTTTTTTATTTTTTATTTATTTTATTTTATTTATTTATTTATTTTTTTTGAGACGGAGTTTCGCTCTTGTTACCCAGGCTGGAGTGCAATGGCGCGATCTCGGCTCACCGCAACCTCCGCCTCCTGGGTTCAGGCAATTCTCCTGCCCCAGCCTCCTGAGTCGCTGGGATTACAGGCACGCGCCACCATGCCCAGCTAATTTTTTGTAGTTTTAGTACAGACGGGGTTTCACCATGTTGACCAGGATGGTCTCGATCTCTTGACCTCGTGATCCACCCACCTCGGCCTCCCACAGTGCTGGGATTACAGGCTTGAGCCACCGCGCCTGGCCATCTTTTTTATTTTTTAATGGAAAACAGTATTAACAGACACTGCTCCATGGACAACAGATATGTGGCCTGTCCACGGAACAGGCATCTGCCCATAAAGGTGCAGTCTGGGTCACTTTAATGTCTCCCTGTCCCGGTCCTCTTGGCTCCTGGGACCAATGTGGTATCCCACTTCTCTGGCGTGGAGCCATCCCCTCACATTCCTGAGCATTAAGCTCAGTGGCTCTTTATCCAGCCAACTTTCTGTCAGCCTTCTGGACATGGGTCTTCAGCCTACTCTTAGTACAGGGGGAGAGAAGCCTCTCCATTTCTTTACCTGCAAAACTGTCATTTTCTTCTTCCTTTGTCTTCCCAGGAAAACAAGACATACCAAACCAAACCAAAGCAAACAAAGATACTACTGCCTCCAAAGGAGAAGAGGCAATTCTACACCCTCTTCCGCAGTGCCTGCCAGTCGCCCATCCTTCTGCCCTTACGGCCCCTGCCCCCACCAAAACTCTCTTCTAAAACAATCAAGGAAGCAGGCTCCTAATCAGCTTACGGCCAATATAAACAGAAAATACCCAACAATCAGCATAAACACCACACTTTGAAAGAAAGCAACAGCACTTCTTTTCTTTTCTTTTTTTTTTTGAGATGGAGTTTCGCTCTTGTTGCCCAGGCTGGAGTGCAGTAGTGTGATCTTGGTTTACTGTAACCTCTGCCTCCCGGGTTCAAGCGATTCTCTTGCCTCAGCCTCCTGAGTAGCTGGGATTATAGGAGCCCACCACTATGCCCGACTAAGTTTTTGCATTTTTAGTAGAAATGGGGTTTCACCACGTTGGTCAGGATGGTCTCAAACTCCTGACCTCAGGTGATCTGCCTGCCTCGACCTCCCAAAGTGCTGGGGTTACAGGCCTGAGCCACTGTGCCTGGCCCAACACTTCTTAAAATATGCTTTTCTCTCCATGTGTCACTGGCACGTCTGTGTTTGTTTCACGGGTCTGGAAGAACAGGACCATTTAGACATTCAAGGACCCTTGTGTGCCTCTGTGCCAGAAATTGCTGTCTATGACTCAAGCCAGGTGCCACCAGAGGCCACCATCATAATCCAAGGCATGACCAGGCGGCGAAACGTGTTGGTCACCAAGGAAAGGCTGCTCAAAGCGTGCCTGTGTCACTCACTTGCTTTGCATCACCTCACTGGGCATGCTGTGCCCATCCACACAGAAACCTGTGTTCCGTTAAGTGCTGGTGATGTGGCAGCCGCAGCACAACCGCCCTGGAGTGGGTGCACGCTAGACAGCTCTTCCAAGCCTCTCTGCAGTACCGATGAAAGAGGCCCAGCGGCTTTTCGCACCAACCTCCAGCTGGGCTAGAGACTCCAGCTACAGTCGGCTGTGGACCCCACCTCAACCGTACATGCCTTCCTTTCCTTTCCCTCACTGCAGACTATGACTTCACTTCTGTTTAAAATCTGAGCAATATTATAGAGTTGGGGGCTAGAAAAACTGTGTGTGTGTGTGTGTATCCCGATCTCAGCTCACTATAACCTCTGCCTCCCAGGTTCAAGTGATTCTTCTGCCTCAGCTTCCTGAATAGCTGGGACTACAGGTGCTTACCACCATGCCCGGCTAATTTTTGTACTTTTAGTAGAGACGGGGTTTCACCATGTTGGCCAGGCTGGTCTTGAACTCCAGACTTCACGATCTTCCCACCTCGGCCTCCCAAAGTGCTGGGATTACAGGTGTGAGCCACTGTGCTCAGCCCAAAAGGAGTATATATTTTAATGTCTACTACAAGTAACTAGAATTTCCTAACCCTCTTACTGACCTCTACTTTTTATGAAAAAACTGCTTTAGACATACAGTCATGTGTTGCTGAGAAAGGCCTTGTTAGGCAAATTTGTTGTTGTGTAAACATCATAGAATTTACTCACACAAACGTAGATGGTGGGGCCTATACCACATTGAGGCTCTATGGCATCGCCTATTGCTCTTAGGCTACACACCTGCACAGTGTGGGACTTACTGAATCCTGTCGGCAGCTGTAACACAATGGTGAGTATTTTAAACATAGAAAAGGTACAGTGAAAATATGGCATTGTAATATTGTGGGACCACATGGTCTTTGTGGCCCATCCATGACAGAAGCAGGACATGACAGTGTATTTTTTTCCATTGCAAATTCTTTGTCAAGACCACTTCCTCTGCTACTACAGCCAAAAGCACCTACATATGAGAGTCATAGCTCAATAAAGATGTCCTTAAAAAAAAAAGTACCTACAATGCTTTTATTGTAATATTATTCCTTTGGATGAGATATGGGTAAAGAGCCTTCTAGAATGCCTACTGATGATTAACCCGAGCCATGAATAGTATTTGGATAAGTAGTGTGAACAAAGGCAGAGACACAGAAACAAGCAGGGTTCTTTGTGCTTTGTGAACATTCTTTTTTTTTTTTTGAGACAAGAGTCTTGCTCTGTTGCCCAGGCTGGAGTGCAATGGCGCACTCTCGGCTCACGGCAACCTCTGCCTCCCGGGTTCAAGCGATTCTCCGGCCTCAGCCTCCCAAGTAGCTAGGATTACAGATGTGTGTCACCATGCCCAGCTAATTTTTTTTTGTGTGTGACAGAGTCTTGTTCTATCGCCAGGCGCCAGTTTGGAGTGCAGTGGTGTGATCTTGGCTCACTGCAACCTCCGCCTCCTGAGTTCAAGCAATTCTCCTGCCTCAGCCTCCCAAGTAGCTGGGACTACAGGTGCACGCCAACATGCCCAGCTAATTTTTTTTGTATTTTAGTAGAGACAGAGTTTCACTGTGTTAGCCAGGATGGTCTCGATCTCTTGGCCTCGTGATCCACCTGCCTCGGCCTCCCAAAGCACTGGGATTACAGGCATGAGCCACCGTGCCCGGCCTTAATTTTTGTTTTTTTAAGTAGAGACGGTGTTTCACCATGCTGGTCAGGCTGGTCTCGAACTCCTGACCTCGTGATCACCTGCCTCAGCCTCCCAAAGTGCTTTGATTACAGGCGTGAACCACTGTGCCCAGCTCTTTGTGAGCACTTTAAGTGAACAGCAAAGAGACTGTGAATATGCGCTCAGGGCCAGGCTGCCTGGACATCAATCTTGCCTTTGTCCCACACTAACTGTGACCTCGAGCAAGCTCTTTAACCTCTCTGTGCCTCTTTCCTCACTTTAAAACAAGAAATTTTTTTGAGACGGAGTCTGGCTCTGTCGCCCAGGCTGGAGTGCAGTGGCGCGATCTTGGCTCACCACAACCTCTGCCTCCCGGATTCAAGCGATTCTCCTGCCTCAGCCTTCCGAGTAGCTGGGACTACAGGTGTACACCACCACACCAGGCCAATTTTTTTTGTATTTTTAGTAGAGACAGGGTTTCACTGTGTTAGCCAGGATGGTATCGATCTCCTGACCTCGTGATCCACCCACCTTGGCCTCCCAAAGTGCTGGGATTACAGGCGTGAGCCACCATGCCTAGCAAAACAACAAATTTAATAGAACCTACATCACAGGATTTTGTGAGGACTAAATGGCTGGAGATACGAAAATTGGGTGAAATGCGGTATATAGTTAATAAACATTAGCTGTCAGAACGTTGTAAACGAGGCAGAACAGACCATGGAGTGGGGCCAGCCCTTTCGAGGATTACTAGAAGATCACACAGGGAGAGCTTAGCCTAAATTGGTGCCTGTGGAAATGAAGCACACACAGACAGATCTGCTCACAGGAGACACATGGAATGAAGGCGAGGGACGATTGTAAAGAAAACCACACGAGCTTTTCAACCTGGACAACCACAAAAATAACAGCACTCTATCAGGAGGCTGGGGAAGAAGATTCTGATTCCTTGAGGAAATCAGGCTGTTTTTGGAAATGCAATGTTTTTGTTAAAAAGGCCCTTAGAAAGATGGGGTAAGAATTCAACTGGAGAAGGATCGGAGCACCAAATCTGCTCTTCCCTTTTGTGTTTTAATTAATTAATATATTTATTTTTAGTTTTTAGATATGGAGTCTTGCCCTGTTGCCCATGCTGGAGTGCAATGGCGCCACCTTGGCTCACTGCAACCTCTGCCTCCCAGGTTTAAGCGATTCTCCTGCCTCAGCCTCCTGAGTAGCTAGGATTAACACATGCACACCACCACGCCCAGTGTGTGTGTGTAATCCCAGCTACTTGGGAGGTTTTTTTTTTTTGTATCTTTAGTAGAGACAGGGTTTCATCATGTTGACCAGGCTGGTCTTGAACTCCTGACCTTGTGATCTGCCTGCCTTGGCCTCCCAAAGTGCTGGGATTACAGGTGTGAGTCACTGCACCTGACCTACTTATTTATTTATTGAGACCGGATCTCATTCTCTCGCCCATGCTAGAGTGTGGCGGTGCAATCATGGCTCACTGCAGCCTGGCCTCAAGCAATCCTCCTGCCTTGGCCTCCCAGAGTGTTGGGATTATAGGCCTGAGCCACTGTGCCCAGCCCAAATCTGCTCTTCCCACTCAAAGGAAAACAACCCATTCATCTTCATTTATAACAGAGGAGTTCCCTGGCCACTGTGGTCATTATCTCCAATTACTTACTAAAAACTTCTCGAACCACAGTTTGTATCATCTGCCTTCATTTCAAGTAGGGAAAATCCAGGGACCGGTGGATATGTAATTGCACAGAATCTGCCAGTAAACTCACAGAGAGGCCACCTCAAATTGCCCAGTTCAGCAGCCCAAATCAAGACTCCCGGTGACATGGAGCACCGACCTGGTCGTCAGCAATGGCTTTCGCGAACCGAGCACAGTCCAGCTGCAAGTAAATATCCGTCAGTTGGTCCAACAGCTTCTTTGGTTCAAAGCCGTATTTCTCAGGGTTTTCAACTTTCAGGTCACGGCACTTGGGGCCACAGAGTTGCTGAAGATTAAAGTTCAGCATTGCAGCCAATCGGGGTCCAAGTTCCTAGGAAATCACAGGATAATAGGACAATTCATGCTGTTGAGACAAGTGAAAAGGACCACAAACTCCCATTTCACTGGAGGAACGGGAATTGGCTGGATTAATCTTCAAAGAATCCTTACATGTGCTGTGTATCATAAGCTGAAGAAAGACAAGACAACATTATATTCCAACTTTACTCCCCATTTCTGATCTGATAATTCTAATACTTAATGGAATGCTGCAGGCTAATGAAATATGTATTTATAAATCCCCAAAAAAGCCAATCTTTTCTTTAAATTCATGCTTTTAATTTAAAAAAATTATCACTCCAAATTCATTAAGAAACAAGTAAAAAAGAGAAAATTATACAACTCTCACCATCATCTGAGCCAAAAAATATTTGAGTCAGCTCCTCCAACAATATTTCATAAAATTTTTCCCCATAAATGTCAAAAGCCCCTGGCAGTTCGGTCTGTGCCATTCTTACGCACTTATCACATGCAAGTAGCAAAGTAATGTAAGGAAAGAAAAGTTATGCCTTAAATAGTGTTAAATCTAGCCAGTGAGACCGAGTCAACAAAACACCTGGAAAATAATAATCTGTGCAGTAATCTCACAAGATGACCCAGTACACACTGCAGCTGGGCATATGTGGCTTTAAGCAAACCTGAAACAGGAAAATGTGGCTTAGAGAGCATTAGACACTGGCCATAAGAGGGAGTCATGGGAAAAAAAAAAAGAGGGGGTCATGAAAGCTTTCCTTTAAGTCACAAGGTTTTCATGAAATCTAACTGGATTTATACAAATTCAACATATGCTTAGCTTTTCAATAATTTGGTTTTGCAGAGTACTGTATTTCATTGTTGAGAAGTTGTGAAATGAAGGAGTTTATGATTAATAGGACAGAGTTGGTCATTTTTTTTTAAGTAGGAGAGATCTGAGCTAGTCAGTAAAGAAGGTGAAAATGGAAACCTTAAAGGTTTGCAAAATGGAATTGCCTTTACACTTTGTCTGTGAAGACCAGATTAGTAAACAGTGTAGTAAAGAAAATGAAGACGTCACAGCAGGCACAGGCACAAGACTGGGGCAAAAGAACAGGGCCACAGTGTACAGATGGCTCAGGTCTATAAGCAGGCCTTAAAATACATTTATTTATTCATTTATTATTCTTTGAGACACAGCCTTGCTCTGTCACCCAAGCTGGAGTGGTGTGATCTCAGCTCACTGTAACCTCTGCCTCCTGGGTTCAAGTGATTCTCCCGCCTCAGCCTCTCAAGTAGCTGGGGTTACAGGTAGGCACCATCACTTCTGGCTAATTTTTGTATTTTTAGTAGAGACGGGGTTTCACCATGTTGGCCAGGCTGGTCTCAAACTCCTGACCTCAGGGGATCCACCGGCCTCAGCCTCCCAAAGTGCTGGGATTACAGGCATGAGCCGTTGTGCCTGGCCTTACACCAGGCACTTCTATGTGTTTTTTAGCTTAATCTTCCCAACAAGTCTACAAAGCAGGTGGGTGTGTTGACGTTGTTATGGAGGAATTCATCAACTATTTACTATCTGGCCTTCCACTCTGCAAACGTCTAAGGGAGGTGAGTGTCTGGGCAGTGAGCTGTCTTCTTTCGTGTTCCGTGGCTCTTACACCGAAATCTGTTGATGAAGAGACATGAAATGGAAAGTGAAAAGAGGGGAAAAGAGTTACCCCCACACCAGGGAGTGGCAACAGTGCCTCTGCTGGAGATGATGGGAGTCAGATAACGGAGGTCAGGGCAAATACAGAAAATCAGGGGAAACATGCAGTAACATTCCATTCCATTGTAAAGTAAATGTGTCCACATAGGCGAATGGCTATTGAATCTTAGGTCCCTGCCATGCCTTCCTCACTACCCTTGTCCTGGCCATATATAAAACTCTTCAACTTTGTGGTGAGGGTGGTTGAAGCAGAGCAGAGGCCTTCAGTGATGATGCTCAGTTTCAATTTCAGAAACGGGAACCAGGTCTTGTTAGCTGAAGACGAACTCTTTGACTATTTGCAATCTACCGTAAACCCTCGTGATGGCTGGCTCTCATTAACCTTTGGCTTCTTGAGTGTAACAAAGCTACATCTAAGAGAGCCAGACTTTACACAGTCTCAATTATTCTACTTAATATCCTTCAATTGTCAATGGATGTTACTTTATGGTTTTCTATAAATAAAATATAGGAATCAATAATGGTAGAAATATGTCATGACTTCAATATTGATAATCCAATGTCCTGTCTAAGCAGGAAGTGCAGTAAGGCATTTGGAAGTGGCTGTAGACTACATGGTGACATCAGACGTCTGCTCTTCAATCTAACAACAGAGTCTTGTTATCAATGAGAATAACTGGGAACAGAATCAGTAACAGAATTTCACTTATCGGTGACTGTGATAGTAAAATTTCCAGGACTTCAACAACTGCTGACGTTGTAAGTGAGAGAGTCTGAATGTGGAGTCCAAACCACCAAACGGAGCCCCTGGGTTCTACTCACCGGTCTGAGGAAGGGTTTCTGGACCTGCTTCGTGAGGATGTGGAACATGTCCACGGTTTCGGTGGCCAGGGCGAGGTAAGAGCGGGACACGCGCTCGTCCTGAGCAAGCTGAGACTGACGGGCCTGCTGCTGATCCTAGGACACATCGAACAGATGCCGAGTAAGGCTCGGTCCTGGTCATCAGCTCAGCAAAGCATAAGCGCATAACCGGAAAGTGTGTGATAAAGCCAACATGCTTAGGGAATGAACTGCCTGTGACAGCAAATTTCCCAGGTAACTGAAGTGTCATCCTTTCAGCATCAGAGCTCACTAGGACTTCCAGCGAGGTGACCTTGGTGCCTTATTTAACTCCCACGAGCCCCTGTTTCCTCAATAATAAAAGAAGTCACCAACAACTTCTATGCAGGATGAAATAAGAGAATCGAACATAGTACCTGACACACATTATGGTACTAAGAAAGGGTAGTTTATTTCCCTTAATAGTAGCTTTTACTTAGCCATCATCATCGTTATTATTATTTTATTTTTTTGAGATGGAGTCTTGCTCTGTCACCAGGCTAGAGTACAGTGGCATGATCTCGGCCCCCTGTAACCTCTGCCTCCAGATTCAAGTGATTCTCATGTCTCAGCCTCCCAAGTAGCTGGGATTACAGGTATGCACCACCACACCTGGCTACTTTTTTTTTTTTTTTTTTTTTTTTGAGACAGGGTCTTGTTGTATCACCCAGGCTGTAGTGCAGTGCCGCAGTCTCGGCTCACTGCAACCTCCACCTCCCAGGTTCAAGCCATTCTCCTGCCTCAGCCTCCCGAGTAGCTGGGATTACAGGCACATGCCAACACGCTTGGCTAATTTTTGTATTTTTGGTAAAGACAGGGTTTCGTCATGTTGGCCAGGCTGGTCTTGAACTCCAGACCTTCCACACACCATGGCCTCCCACAGTACTGGGATTACAGGTCTGAGCCACCACGCCTGGCCTAATTTTTGTATTTTTAGTAGAGATGGGGTTTCACCATATTGGTCAGGCTGGTCTCGAACTCCTGACCTGAAGTAATCTGCCCATCTAGGCTCCCCAAAATGCTGGGATTACAGGTATGCACCACTGTGCTCAGTCAGTCTTCATTATTTTAAAACTATGAGATGCAGTGTGCTACAGTAGTGAGGCCTAGCCTCTCTGCCTCTATAAGTGCCTGTGGACTACTAAGCTTTTTGAATTTTGTCTTTCCACACTGTGAGGCTGTCACACCACAGAACTGTCAGCATGCTTGCCTCTGGCGCTGTCTCCTCCCTCAACTCTGCCATGGGCTGGGGAGGAGATAATAAGAGCTGTTCGACTCATGGGTACAATCAGGTACAGCACTGCAGGCTGTGAAATGCACCAAACACAGACCCATCAGGAAAGACCTCAATGCTGACATCTGTGCAGAGGCCTTTTCTTGTTAGGGAAGGGAACACTGCGGGAACAGCTGAAGCTGGCTGGTGAGTGCCCTCTGGGTAAGTGCTGCTCCAGTCTGTGCTTGGTGGAGATTCTGCAGGAGATTCTATGGGCGCCTGCCTACTGCTCCCTGGTCAAGAATGAGCCCACTGAAAGAAAGGCAGTGCCAGGGAAGACACAAAAACAGCCAGGCATGAACTACCTAAGTGTGTGCCTGGGTGTCTCCACAGGCCCTTCTACAGCCTTTTGGCACTGGAGATAGTAAGACTCCCGGCTCTCACGGAGCACAGGGAGAATCTGCTTAATAAAACAAATACCCAAACAGATACACAGTAAATCTGACAGTGATTACGAAAAATGAGGCTGGGTCGGGATCAGGGAATGCTATTCTGGAAAGGGTGGTCAGGGAAGGTCTTCCTGAGAGGGTGACAACTAAGTGGACATCTGAAGGAGTTGGAAAAAATCTGGGGAAGAGCATTCCAGGTGGAGGGAAGAGCAGGAGCAAAGGCCCTCACGTGTCAGTGAAGGGTCAGGAGGTGAGTCTGACTGGGGTAGAGTGAGTGGAGGAGAGACTGTCCAAAGCTGAGGGCAGAAACATATTGAGGGGCCAGATCCTGCCGTGTGCTGTAGGCCACACTTGTCACAGGATTTGGCTCTGAGTGAGAAGGGAAGCTCAAAAGGGCTCGGCTGAGTGGCGATATTGATCAGACTGAGATATTTAACACCATCTCTGATATGGACATGCTCAAGAGTGGAGGTTCAAGATCAAGCAGTGGGCTATTTTTCTTTCTTTTTTTTTTTCTTTCTTGAAACGGAGTTTCGCTCTAGTTACCCAGGCTGGAGTGCAATGGCGCGATCTCGGCTCACCGCAACCTCCGCCTCCTGGGTTCAGGCAATTCTCCTGCCTCAGCCTCCTGAGTAGCTGGGATTACAGGCACGTGCCACCATGCCCAGCTAATTTTTTGTAGTTTTAGTAGAGACGGGGTTTCACCATGTTGACCAGGATGGTCTCAATCTCTTGACCTCGTGATCCACCCGCCTCGGCCTCCCAAAGTGCTGGGATTACAGGCTTGAACCACCGCGCCCGGCCCATCTTTCTTTCTTTTTTTTAAGAGATGAGGTCTTGCCATGTTGCCTAGGCTGGAGTGCAGTGGCTATTCACAGCTGCAGTCCCACTACTGATCAGCATGGGAGTTTTGACCTGCTCTGTCTCTGACCTGGGCTGGTTCACCCCTCCTTAGGGAACCTTGAGGTCCCCTGCTCCCAAGATGTCACCATATTGATGCCGAACTTAGTGCAGACACCCAATTGGCATAGTGTGCTACAGCCCAGAACTCCTGGGCTCAAGCAATCCTCCCACCTCAGCCTCCCGAGTAGCTAGGACTACAGGCACGTGCCACTGCTCCCGGCAACAGTGGGCTATTGCAATAATCCAGGTAAGGGATGCCAGTGGTCTGGAGATGGTGAGAAGAGGTTAGACAAGGGATGTATTTTAAGACAGAGCCTAGAGGCATTTGCTGAGAGAGGAAGAGAAATCAAGAACAACTCCAAGGCATTGAGCCCGATCAGTGGGTAGAATGAAGGTGCTATTTACTGAGATTGGGCAGACTCAGGCAGGAGATGAGGACATCAAGGGTTCAGTGCTGGACAAGGTGAGTTTGAGGCACCTATTCGACAAACACTTGGTCTAGAAATCTGGAATCAGGTGAAATCTGAGCTGGGGATAAACACACTGTACTGCTAAGAATACAAGTATTTAGAGCCTTGGAATACATGAGATCACCAAGCAGTGACTTTCACCAGTGGGGCAGCAGGTTATGTATGGGAGTGTTTCTAGCTGCCTGATGGCTGGGGTAGGAGGGTACGTCCCTGGCATTAAATGGCAGGAAACAGAGATGCTAAATGTCCTGCAATACATGGGATGGTTTCTCATCATGAGTTATTATTATACCAAATGCCGCTAGGCTCAAAATTCCAACTAGTGCCCTCACTGAGAAACACTAACCTAGAGAGCACGAGTGGAAAGGACACTGAAGCCTGAAGGCTGTGCTGGAGCTCGCCAAGCTCAGACATCAGGCAGATGAGCAGGAACAGCCAGGGCAGTGGGAGGTAGAAAGCGACTTCAAAGCCAAATAATTTCTGAAATAGCAATTGTTAGGAACTATTTGTGCCCTTTTCATCCATTAACACGGGAAAAATCAATAGTGTTTGTTCAGTTGGCTCACAAACAAAGGCTATTAATTATTGACTACGAATACGAGAATGTGCTGTAGACCTGCATTACAACATCTAAAATATACGCCGGCTGGCCACGGTGGCTCACAACTATAATCCCAGCATTTGGGGAGGATGAGGTGGGAGGACTGCCTGAAGCCAGGAGGTTGTAGGCTGTAGTGAGCTATGATCTGCCATTGCACTCCAGCCTGCGACAGGGCAAGACTGTTTTTCTTTTGTTTTGAGATGAGTCTTGCTCTGTTGCCCAGGCTGGGATGCAATGGCATGATCTCAGCTCACTGCAACCTCCGCCTCCCAGGTTCAAGTGATTCTCCTGCCTTGGCCTCCCAAGTAGCTGGGATTACAGGCGCATGCCACCACACCCAGCTAATTTTTGTATTTTTAGTAGACACTGGGTTTTGCCATGTTGGACAGGCTGGTCTCGAACTCCTGACCTTAGGTGATCTGCCTGCCTCGGCCTCCCAAAGTGCTGAGATTGCAGTCATGAGCCACTGTGCCTGGCCAAGACTCTGTTTCTATTAAAAAATGATAGAAAAAAATTTGCCACTACACCCGGCCAATTTTTTCTATTTTTAGTAGAGATGGGGTTTCACCATGCTGGCCAGGCTGGTCTGGAACTCCTGACCTTGTGATCCACCCACCTCGGCCTCCCAAAGTGCTGGGAGTAGAGGCGTGAGCCACTGTACCCAGCCTTAATATTTATTTTTAAAGGAAGGAACGCTTTATGAATTTGCATGTCATCCTCAAGCAGGGGCCATGGTAATCTTCTCTATTGTTCCAATGTTAGTATACGTGCTGCTGAAGCAAGCATGTGAGACCTTATCTCTACAAAAAAAATAAAAAATAATTAGCCATGCATGGTGGTGCATGCTTGTAGTTCCAGCTATTTGGGAGGCTGAGGCAGGAGGATTACCTGAGCCCAGGAAGTTAAGGCTGTGGTGTGCTATGATTCTGCTACTGAACTCCGGCCTAGGCAATAGATCGAGACTCTGTCTCTGTTTTTTAATAATAATATAAAACAAATAAGTAAATAAAATATAAGCTGGGTACACCAAGCACTGTGAATGGCATAAAGTGGGTATTACATAAGAAAGGAGAAAGTGAGAATTTTCAGCTATGCTGATTGGCGAACACCAACCTGAGGGAGTATTTAGGACCTTACTCAGAGAATGGGTAGAACCTTAATACATAAAAAGAAAAGCAGGTATATATGGCAACTAAACATTGGTACAGATGGACAGAGATGGGAACAGCAGACAGTGGGGACCACACCAGAGGGGAGGGAGGTGGGGCAAGGGTTGAGAAACTACTGATTAGGTATTATGCTCACTCTCTAGGAGACAGGTTGAATCATAAAACCTCAGCATCACATGATATACCCACGTAACAAATCTGCCCATGTACCCCATCCCCTGAATCTAAAATAAAAGTTAAAATTGAAAAAGAAGAAAAAAACGTTGGGCACCGTGGTTCATGCCTGTAATCCTAGCACTTTGGGAGGCCAAGGCGGGTAGATCACCTGAGGTCAGGAGTTCAAGAACAGCCTGGCCAACATGGTGAAACCCCATCTCTACTAAAAATACAAAAACGAGCTGGGTGTGGTGGCACGCACCCATAATCCCAGATACTTGGGAGGCTGAGGGAGGAGAGTTGTTTGAAACGGAAAAGCGGAGGTTGCAGTGAGCTGAGATTGCACCACTGCACTCCTGCCTGGGCAACCAGAGTGAAACGCTGGCTCAAAAAAAGAAAAGGCAGACCTTCCCACTTTGACATGAGAATTATGGAAATCAGTTCTGATTCTGAGTTTGACAATACCAGGAACAGAATCAATAAACCTAAACCAATCTAAGAAGTCACCAGCAACTGTCAAGGGCCTCATAAGCAACCAAGGAAGTATCTCAGTGGCTGCCACGCACGTTAGGAAGGAGCAGTGCACTGGCATTGGCACAGCACGTGTTTACCATGGAACCTGGCAAGCCACGCTTCTTTTCTATTAATCACTGAATATAAAAACCAAGATCAACTGAAAGGAAAAAACCCACCCCACCAGGATCCTGAGTGAGTCACACAATTGCCTAGAGAAGCCCATAAGAACAAATCTTGTCCAGCAGACATAATTCTAGAGATTTCTTTCCTAATTACGTTCATGAATCTTAATATATTCAGACAATAAAAGCTCTTCTCCAAAAAAGCCCTTTAAATTTAAAGGGCAGAGAAAGTTTTCAGCGTACATTTTCAAAGACTTCTCAACTCATTTCTTAGCTTCAGATAAAAGTCTTCCAGATTTTTCCTATTCCAACCCTGCAATATAATTTCATGGAAGGAAAATCACAGCAAGTCAGATTGCGTATCATCAGACCCACAAATGCAGCCCCAAAGCAGCTCTGCCTATGTCCAGAGGCAGAGGCCCTGCAAAGCTGTCCACGCATCTGGACCACGTCCTCACCCGGGGCAACTGGTCCCACTGTTCTTTGTTCTTCATCTCTTCCTGCACCTCATGGATTCGCTTCAGAGACTCCAGACTTTCATCGAGCAAAAATGTCGTGTCGTTTATCAACATGTTTATATAGCGAACAAACTGCTTCCCGGAACTGGAAAGGCAATTATATTGTACATGGTCATACATCTCCCTGAAGCAGAATGCCACAGCAAATCCCAGGGGACAAGAGCCTCCACCCAGAGTGCAACTATCTCACCCTAAAAGCCTGCCTCCCCTGGCACAAGTCAGGCACTGTGGAATTCGACTACCAAGCTTCTCTTTAGATTTTGCTAATCTCGTTTCTTTTTGAGACAGGGTCTTACTCTGTCGCCCAGCCTGGAGTGCAGTGCACAATCACAGCTCACTGTATCCTGAATCTCCAGGGCTCAAGCAGACTTCCTGCCTCAGCCTCCTAGTAGCTGGAACTACAGGCACATGCCACCGCGCCCGGCTAACTTTTATATTTTTTGTAGAGACAGGCACTTATGTTGCCAGGGTTGGTCTCAAACTCCTGGGCTCAAGTGCTCCTCCCACCTCAGCCTCCCAAACTGTTGGGATTACAGTCATGAGCTACCACACCTGGCCTAGATTTTGTTATTCTTTTAAATTGTTTGTGATAAGCTCATTTCTGTGGTGTTTTGTTGCCACCTTGCATGGTTTATGACAGTCAAGTGCTAAATATTTCAGAATTTTATAAGCAGATTCCCCTGGCACCTTAAATTGGGCAACAGAGCAAAGAGTCACACCATGGAAAACCAGCAAATACTGACTCCCCCACCCCCCTTCCCAAAGCAGGCTTACCAGCACACCCCTGGCTCACTCCCTCAATGTTTTTAAGGAGAGAAAACACTTCTTCCAGACTAGAACAGGAAATACGCATATACTCACCAATATACCAAGAAAACACAAGTAATCAACCACATATAAGATAACTACTGACAAAGTTATTCCTTATTACAAAGACAGACACACTGAAGAAAAATTGGAACCTGTATTATTGATAAAGTGGGATATTAACTTACTTTAGAATCTGCATCTTCCAATCTAAGGAACTATTCTGCAGGTCGTGTTATAGTGAGAGAACTTGGTGAACTCAAATAGCTTGGCCTACCTCTGTTAGACTCTGGAGCTGCCAGATTGTAGAGAAAAGAGAAGCTACACTTCAGGGTCTACAACCATGTCACTAGGGGTGGCAAACCCATGCCTGGGGAAGAGAAGTTCCCGTGAACAAGGACAGGAGGCCTTGATCTCAGGAACATGGCAGGTTCAGGACAAGCGCTCTCATCAGCACCATTCAGACCAAGCCGTGGGTCAGCCTGGTGTCCTAAGCCTGTGCCAGGCTTTAACTGGAACACAAGTTCTGACCATGAGAGCAGTTTACGGAAACAAAAAATTAAAGAGTTTATTTAGGCTGGGCACGGTGGCTCATGCCTGTAATCCCAGCACTTCGAGAGGTCGAGGCAGGTGGATCACGAGGTCAGGAGTTCAAGACCAGCCTGGCCAAGATGGTAAAACCCCGTCTCTACTAAAAACTACAAAAATTAGCTGGGCACGGTGCAGGCACCTGTAATCCCAGCTACTTAGGAGGCTGAGGCAGGAGAAATGCTTGAACCCAGGCGGCAGAGGTTTCAAAGAGCCAAGATCATGCCACTGCACTTCAGCCTGGGCAACAGAGTAAGACTCCGTCTCAAAAAAAAAAGAAGTTTACTCCACAGAACTCTATCTAGCAAATAGTTATTCCACTGGCAATGTACATTATTGACTAGTAATTCAGTTAACAAGTATAGCTAGATTTGATCAAAGATCTAACATGGGTTGCAAAAGATCCAAGTAGATGGGATAAAATTTTATTTTTATTTTTTATAATTTTATATGGAACGCTTCACGAATTTGTGTGTCATCCTTGTGCAAGGGCCATGCTAATCTTCTCTGTATTGTTCCAATTTTAGCATATGTGCTGCCGAAGCGAGCACGGGATAAAATTTTTGAAGCATAATTTAAGAGTTCAGCATCTTCATCTACCTTTCGTTTTTAGGCACTGACAGATAATTGAGAAGGGATTACTCTGTCCAGGTTTAAGCAGTCACTCAGATTTCTGGTAGGTATATGCAAAGTCTTTAAGTTTTAGGGCCTTACCACAAAGAATGACACTTTAAATGATAACCCTGACCTCATTGTTGTAAAATCTAAAGTCCTTCCAACATTCAAGAACACTAAGATTGGCTGGGTGCAGTGGCTCATGCCTGTAATCTCAGCACTTTGGGAGGCCGAGGCAGGTGGATCACCTAAGGTCAGGAGTTCAAGACCAGCCTGACCAATATGGTGAAACCCCATCTCTATTAAAAAAAAAAAAAAAAAAAACCACTAAGATTTCGTTTGACTCATTCTGACAACTTCATTTAACACTGTAATCACAGAAACACCAAAAAATGCTTAGCCCATTATCTCAGCATATTTATAGAATCTTTTCTCTTCCTTTTTTTTTAGACAAGAGTCTTGCTCTGTCGCCCAGGCTGGAGTGCAGTGGCACAATCTTGGCTCACTGCAGCCTCTGCCTCCCGGGTTCAAGCAGTTCTCCTGCCTTACCTTCCCAAGTAGCTGGGATAACAGGTGTGAGCCACCACACTCAGCTAATGTTTTGTATTTTTAGTAGAGACGGAGTTTCACCATGTTGGCCAGGCTGATCTTGTACTCCTAACCTCAAGTGATCCACCCGCCTTGGCCTCCCAAAGTGCTGGGACTGCCAGGCATGAGCCACCACGCCCCACCCTACAGCATCTTTTCTTCTGTACCACCCCCAAAGTATCTTGACAAATCTAAAGTTCAGCAGCATCTTGCAAGTAAAGCCATTTAAAAAATCCTGCCCACATTTAGGGGCACCTTGTGGTAAACTCAAAGGAGTCGGAGACCAAGCAAACAGTCAACAAGAACCCAGCTGTGGAAGCTTTTAAGCTGCAATCCTACCTGTGATTTGCAAGAAAGCAAGTTGTGACATTAGGGGCCCCATACTCACTTGAACTCCTCCATAAAGGTGCCATGGTGAGCTATGTTTTGCCAAAGGCTTTTAAAAATGGTGCTAATGTGATAGCGAATTGTGAACTTGTCATAAAACTCGCTGGTGGCTCCGGTATGCTCAACATCTAAGGAAGAAAGACAAAGGGACTGAGGGGTATGTACTTTCTTACTTTCCAAATCTAGTTATTGCCCCCACAATGATAGTGAGTGAATGTAAATCTGCAAAATCAGAGAGCTGGTGAAATTTTGCACCTCTCTTGCATGTAAGGCAGGACAGAAATTATGAGCTGCTTTTAAAGACAAAAGTTTCACAATGAAGATTTGACAATGACACAACACGGAAAGGAACAGGGCTAGGAAAACTCACATCATTAGGACAGCATCCACTTACCAATGACCAAAAGCTGAATTATCATACTCCCTCCCCAATTTTAAGTTATTAATTTATAGAAATTCTATGGTACCTCAAATGGACATCCTTCACCAGATAAAAAATTAGGTTTAATTTTATTGAGGATCACGTACCTATTAAATGTGTCTATCCTAGTGATCATTTTTGGTGTTGAAAAAAAAACAATGTGTCTATCACCCCTATACCTATAAAGAGGGGAAAAAAAATCAAACTTGTTTGTCCAAATGGCAAAAGCTTAGGCATGAGAAATTTCAGAATTCATGACAAATTTTATTTATTTTATTTTTTTGATACGGAGTCTTGTTGTGTCACCCAGGCTGGAGAGCAATGGGGTAATCCCGGCTCACTGCAACCTCTGCCTCCCAGGTTCAAGCGATTCTCTTGCCTCGGCCTCTGGAGTAGCTGGGATTATAGTGCCACCATGCCCAGATAATTTTTTGTATTTTTAGTAGAGATGGGGTTTCACTGTGTTAGCCAGGGTAGTCTTGATCTCCTGACCTTGTGATACGCCCACCTTGGCCTCCCAAAGTGCTGGGATTACAGGTGTGAGCCACCATGCCTGGCCTAATTTATTTTATTTTATTTTTTTGGAGACAGGGTCTTGCTCTGTCACCCAAGCTGAAGTACAGTGATGTGATAATGGCTCACTGCAGCCTCAACCTCTTGGGCTCCAGTGATCCTCCCACCTCAGCCTCCCAAGTAGCTGGGACTAGAGATGCATCCACCACGCCTGGCTTATTTTTTATGGCTGGCTCACACCTGTAATCCTAGCACTTTGGGAGGCCAAGACAGGCAGATCACTTGAGGCCAGGAGTTCAAAACCAGCCTGGACAACACAGCAAAACCCTGTCTCTACTATTAATAAAAATACCAAAACTAGCTGGGTGTGGTGGTGTGTGCCCATAATTCCAGCTACTTGGGAGGCTGAGGTAGGCGAATCACTTGAACTGAGATACAGAGGCTGCAGTGAGCCAAGATCACGTCACTGCACTTCAGCCTGGGTGGGTGACAGGGCAAGACTCTGTCTGAAAAAAAAAAAAAAAAAAAAAAATTTTTTTTTTTTTTTACAGATGGGGGTCTCACTATGTTGCCCAGGCTGGTTTCAAATTCCTGGCCTCAAGTGATCCTCCCACCTCGGCCCTCCAAAGTACTGAGATTACAGGTGTGAGCCACTACACCTGGCCTTTGATATTTTCTATATTTTCCAAAGAACACATTTTTGTGCATGTGACCAAAAAAGAAAACAGCTATTTAAAAATTAAAGAATAAGATAATTAACACCTATGATACTAAGATCTGAATGCACTTATGTGTATTCATTAAGTCAACCTTTCTTTAGGATGAACTAAATGTCATTTATTAAGTGTATAAATGCATGAGCTGAAGTGTGGAGTGCTGATGAAGGCAAGCCTTCGGCAGGAAGATACTGGAGGACCAATCCAACACTGCATACAATCTAAAACAGCCCCTGATATCTGCCCCAAATTCTGAATATAGTAGAGACTAAGTAAATACTATTAATTTATTATGTAACATTACGTATTTCAGCAGGGCCCTGCATGTGTATTCCCAGCACTTTGGGAGGCCCAGGCGGGCAGATCACTTGAGCTCAGGAGTCTGAGACCAGCTTGGTGAACATAGTGAAACCCCGTCTTTATAAAAGCCACAAAAATTAGCCGGCTGTGGTGGCATACACCTGTAGTCCCAGCTACTTGGGAGGCTGAGACAGGAGGATCACTTGAGCCCAGGAGGTCAAGCGTGTATGGAGTTGTGATTGTGCCACTGTACTCTAGCCTGCAGAGCAAGATCCTATCTCAAAAAAAAAAAAAAAAAAAGAAAAGAAAAGTAAACGAAACAATATACATCTCTCAACATTAAAAAAAATTATTATTCACTTCTACTGTTCCCTCAAAATCATACCAGCTCAAGTTCTCATTCCCAGGTCCTTGTTCTAGAAGGCCTTAAGTGGACTGGACTTGTGCTAAACCTCTTCCTCCTCCCCAGGATTCCTGCTGCCCTCTTTCTTGATTCATCGGCTGCCCAGACCTCAAGGTATTTATACTTACTGCCCCATGTGCTGCCACACTATGGCTGAGACCCTCTTATGGCTCGTGGTTGTTATATTTTCAACATCACTCCAAAGTCCTCTCCTCTGAGACCTTCCCTGACCATCCTTCTGAAAGGAGTCCTATGCCTCCTTCCCACACTCACTCTCAAAATCTCTTTTTTCTTGAGACAGGGTCTTGCTCTGTCACCCAGGTTGGAGTGCAATGGCTCAAACATCGCTCACTGCACTCTCAGCCTCCTGGGCTCAAGCGATCCTCCCGTCTCAGATTCCTAAAGTGCTGGGATTACAGGCATGAGCCACTGCCCTGACCACAACATCTATTTGTACAGAGTCTGTCTCCCAACTGGAATGCCTGACACATGATGGCAAAGATTTGACATCTTTGCCCAATATTTGCTGAATTAGAGATCGAATTTACTTTGCCTTGCTGATGCTGATTCAGATCAGCTTTGGGGAAGATAATAATTTTTCTTTTTTGAGACGGAGTTTCGCTCTTGTGGCCCAGGCTGGAGTGCAAAGGCAAAATCTCGGCTCACTGCAACCTCTGTCTACAGGGTTCAGGTGAGTCTCCTGCCTCAAGCTGTGCCACAACGCCTGGGGAATTTTGTATTTTTTTAAGTAGTTATGGAGTTTTTCCATGTTGGTCAGGCTGGTCTCGAACTCCCGACCTACAGTATCTGCCCGCCTGGGCCTCTCAAAGTGCTGGGATTACAGGTGTGGGCCACTGCACCTGGCTAAGAATAATCCTAAAGTAAATCTTGATTATCAGTATCATTCTAGTTCTGAGGGCTGTTCCTTAAGGAACTGACTGATGTAAAAAATCACAAAAATAAAACTCTTATTTTAAAATTTAATTGATTTTTGTACTTTTTATTTTCTGAGATTGCATCTTGCTGTTGCCTAGGCTGGAGGGCAGTGGTACAATCTCAGTTCACTGCAACCTCCACCTCCTGGGCTCCAGCAATCCTCCCATCTCAGCCTCCCAAGTAGCTGGGACTACAGGTGCATGCCACTATGCCTGGCTGATTTTTACTTTTTTAGTGGAAATGAGGTCTCACCATGTTACCCAGGTTGGCCAAAATTTCCTGAGCTCAAGTGATCGGCCCACCTTGGCCTCCCACAGTGTTGGAATTACAGGCGTGGGCTACCGCCCTTGGCCAACTTAATTGATTCTTTTTTTTTTTTTTTTTTGTTATAGACAGATACTCTCTGTTACCCAGGCTGGACAGCAGTGGTGCCATCACAGCTCACTGCAACATCTGCCTCCTGGGTTCAAGTGATTCTCCTGCCTCAGCCTCCAAAGTAGCTGGGATTACAGGCACGCACCATCACACCTGGCTAATTTTTATATTTTTCGTAGAGACGGAGTTTTGCCATGTTGGCCAGCTTGGTCTTGAACTCCTGACCTCAGGTGATCCACCCACCTTGGCATCCTAAAGTGTAATTACAGAGCACTCTCTCTCTCTCCCCCTGCCCTCTCTTTCTTTCTGTTTAAGACAGTCTCACTCTGTTGCCCAGGCTGGAGTCAGTGGCAATCATGGCTCACTGTAGCCTCAAACTCCAAGGTTCAAGTAGCCTCCTGGGGAACGAGGACTACAGGTATGGACCACCACATTCAGCTACCATTATTATTATTATTATTTGAGATGAATTCTCACTCTGTTGCCAACGCTGGAGTGCAGTGGCATGATCTTAGCCACCACACCCAGCTAATTTTTGTATTTTTAGTAGAGGCGGGGTTTTACCATGTTGTCCAGGATGTTCTCGATCTCCTGACCTTGTGATCTGCCCACCTGGGCCTCCCAAAGTGCTGGGATTACAGGTGTGAGCCATACGCCTGGCGAATTTGAGCATTTTCTAAGCTAGAATATTATCTCTGTGGTATAAGAGGAGATTGTTCCACATACTGATCTTGGGTGTGGAAACTCTAATTTTTTTTTTTTTTTTTTTTTTTTTTTTTGAGACGGAGTTTCACTCTTGTTACCCAGGCTGGAGTGCAATGGCGCGATCTCGGCTCACCACAACCTCCGCCTCCCAGGTTCAGGCAATTCTCCTGCCCCAGCCTCCTGAGTCGCTGGGATTACAGGCACGCGCCACCATGCCCAGCTAATTTTTTGTAGTTTTTAGTAGAGACGGGGTTTCACCGTGTTGACCAGGATGGTCTTGATCTCTTGACCTCGTGATCCACCCGCCTCGGCCTCCCAAAGTGCTGGGATTACAGGCGTGAGCCACCGCGCCCGGCCGCAACTCTAATTTATATCTGAGTCCCATCTGCTCAGGGACCAGGAGCTAATCAGCAGGTCTTCACATGGAGACGATGAACACAGAAGTATGTCTGTGATGCCTCCCTCTGGGGTACACTCACACCAGCCCCTGGTCACCATCGGAAGACCAGCACAGTAGTCAGGGGCACCTGTGCTAAAGGCCATCTGCTCAGGTTGCCGCCACTCACTAGCCACTGACCTTCAGCAAGCTTCTTGGCCCCTTTAAGCTTCAGTTTTCTCATTTGTAAAGTGGAGGTATTTATAGTACTACCTCTAGGACTGCTGTGGGGATTAAGTGAAAGGATTAGTAAGCATTCAATGAGTGGTGGCCATTATTAGCGCAGATGTCATCATCTATGGCTGGTCCAGGCCAGAGGGCACACATGGCAAAGAGGAAGGAGGGAAGAACCCCCACCCATCACCTTCTGGAACATTCACAGCAGGCCTCCACGAGGCCCAGCACTGGTCTCATAGGGAACAGGTCCAGTTCTCTTGTGCATGTGCACACATGCATGTACACGCGCACGCACACACACACCCACACACACACACACTTTATCCTGAAGTCACAGTGGCAGGCCCAGAACACTGACTACAAAATATGTTTAACTAAAATTGTTTTCTTTTTACTACAATAAAACATGTTTACTGTAGGAAAATTAAGAAGTTCAGATAATAAAACAAAAAGAAATAAAAACTATGGGCCGGGCGCGGTGGCTCAAGCCTGTAATCCCAGCACTTTGGGAGGCAGAGGCGGGTGGATCACGAGGTCAAGAGATCGAGACCATCCTGGCCAACATGGCAAAACCCTGTCTCTAGTAAAAATACAAAAATTAGCTGGGCATGGTAATGCATGCCTGTAATCTCAGTTATGTGGGAGGCTGAGGCAGAAGACTAGCTTGAATCAGGGAGTCAGAGGTAGCAGTAAACCAAGATTGTTGCATTGCACTCCAGCTTGGTGACAGAACGAGACTCCGTCTCAAAAAAAAAAACAAAAAAACAGTGTAATTCAGCTCCTAGAATAGTGCCTGACAAATAGTAGATGCTCACGAAGCTCAATAAATATGTGTTGAACAACTGAATGCTCAAATGAATGCTCCTAAGATCCCTCCAGAAATCCTGATTCCATTGGTTTAAGTGGGGTCCAAGAACATACATTTTTTTCTTGGGGGGTGGGAGTTTTGCTCTTGTTGCCCAGGCTGGAGTGCAATGGCGAGATCTTGGCTCACCACAACCTCTGCCTCTTGGGTTCAAGTGATTCTCCTGCCTCAGCCTCCTGAGTAGCTGGGATTACAGGCATGTGCTACCACACCCGGCCATTTTTTTTTTTTGAGGCAGAGTTTCACTCTGTTGTCCAGGCTGGAGCGCAGTGGCACCATCTCAGCTCACTGCAACCTCCGCCCCCTGTATTTAAACAATTCTCCTGCCTCAGCCTCCCAAGTAGTTGGGACTACAGGTGTCTGCCACCCACCTGGCTAATTTTTTTTTTTTTTTGTATTGTTAGTAGAGACAGGGTTTCTCCATATTGGCCAGGCTGGTCTCAAACTCCTGACCTTGTGATCTATCGCCTTGGCCTCCCAAAGTGCTGGGATTACAGGCGTCAGTCACTGCACCTGGCCCAAGAATATGCATTTTTAACAAGCTCCCTCTTATACCCACACTTAGGAAACTGTAGTGTTAGAAAACAAATGCTTTAAGTTCAAAGGTAAAATGAACCAGATAATTCCACTCAGATAACACCACGAACTTGTGTGGTTGATACCAATTGAGTCTCGGTGCTAATCAATTGGGTCTCGATGAAATGGCTCCTGCTGAATCATCAGAGACCAGTACATGGAATGGCTGTCCTACTCCCAACTACTCAGGGGAAGAAGAACTAAAAGTACATCCTCTGCAGGCTGTAGGGTAGTAGGTTATACACGTCAGGATAGTAGGTAACAGGCTGACAGCAACACCAGACACCGACTTTAGAAGACCTTGCCTAAGCTGGCCTGCCATGTGCTATACTGTGTCCCAGCAACCTACCTGTATAAAACTTCATCAGGGAAGGTACCAACAACTTGGTAGAGAGAGGATGGTTCTCAATCATTTCAAAAAACTTCTGGGTTCGTGGCTGAACAGCAGGGTTGGTCATAAACATGACTTCTACAAGTTTGGCCACCAAATATGGGTTTCGGATGTAGTTCTGGTTGCACAACATCACGACAAGGAACATCACGACATCCTGAGTGCAGGGCTCATAAAGCGCCTGGGGAGAGTATCTGAAGAGAGGCAAGGAGAACAAGAAAGAGGCCGTGAAAAACTGCTGAGAAACTCACCTTGGTGAAGGCTGTGTCAGCAAGTGAGGAGGGGAAGGCAGGATAAATAGGTTTAGGAGTGTCCTTGAACTTGCTCAGTTTACAGTGACCATTTATACTGCTATGACACAGATTTCAAACGAAACATGGTTACTGGCTGTAGCATGTTACATTAACTATAAACAAAAGCTATGATTAAATCAGATAAACTTCACAAAAGATCATTACTACTAAAAAGTCACACAAAATTTTTTTGGTAAGAGTTATTTTTTTAAATCTCTGCTGAAAAGGAGAATAAATGAAAATTTTCAAATAGGTGTTTTCTTGTATTAGTGTACATAGAACAGATTTTAAAATGTGACTTGAATTGCTTAAATTCCAAGGTTGGTTTTTCTTTTTTTTTTTTTTTTGAGACAGAGTCTTTGCGCGATCTCGGCTCACCGCAACCTCCGCCTCCTGGGTTCAGGCAATTCTCCTGCCTCAGCCTCCTGAGTAGCTGGGATTACAGGCACGCGCCACCATGCCCAGCTCATTTTTTGTATTTTTAGTAGAGACGGGGTTTCACCATGTTGACCAGGATGGTCTTGATCTCTTGACCTCGTGATGAGACAGAGTCTTGCTCCGTCACCAGGCGCCAGGCTGGAGTGCAGTGGCGCAATCTCGGCTCACTGCAACCTCTGCCTCCCAGGTTCAAGCAATTCTCCTGCCTCAGACTCCCGAGTAGCTGGGACTACACTACAGGCGTGCGCCAACATGCCCAGCTAATTTTTGTATTTTTAGTAGAGACAGGGTTTCCCATGTTGACCAGGATGGTCTCGATCTCTTTACCTCATGATCCGCCCACCTCAGCTTCCCAAAGTGCTATGATTACAGGTGTCAGCCACCGCGCCTGGCCTAAGGTTGGTTTTTCGACAAATAAACCATGCTTTTCAGTCACTTTTTAAATTTTGAACCAATCAAAATCACATGTCACCAATGAGTTGGGATTATCCTTTTTTTTTTTGAGATGGAGTCTTGCTCTGTTGCCCAGGCTGGAGTGCAGTGGTGTGATCTCGGCTCACTGGAACCTCTGCCTTGATTTGGGCTTTTTTTTTTTTTCTTTTAAGGCAACTTTTCTGACAACAATACAGCTTGCTCCAGTTAGTTTTGGCTCTTATTTTAGAATCATTTACACTTATTTTGTTTTTTTCCGTTGTTTGTTAAAAAGCTTTCATAATTTGTATTTTGTGACTGGGAACCTATACTATTTTTATTTTATTTTATTTTATTTATTTATTTATCTTTTTGAGACAGAGTCTCGCTCTGTCACCCAGGCTGGAGAGCAGTGGTGCGATCTCAGCTCGCTGCAACCTTTGCCTCCTGAGTTCAAGGGATTCTCCTGCCTCAGCCTCCTGAGTAGCTGTGATTACAGGCATGCAACATCATGCTTGGCTAATTTTTATATTTTTAGTAGAGACGGGGTTTCACCATGTTGGCCAGGCTGGTCTCGAACTCCTGACCTTGTGATCTGCCCACCTCAGCCTCCCAAAGTGCTGAGATTACAGGCATGAGCCACCACACTGGCTTTATTTTTTTTTTTAAAGAGATGCAAACTTGCTACGTTGTCCAGGCTGGTCTTGAACTAGCTCAAGCAATCCTCCCGCATGTCTGAGACTATAAGCATGTGCCACAGTGCCCAGCATGACTTTTACTTTTCACAATACACTTCATATACCACTCCCTCAGCTAGCCATATGTGCTATCATGGTGCCATGGGATTGAAACTGCAATTCTTCTAAACTGTAATGTTTTAGAAATAAAATGTGAATTTGATAAACCAAATAAGGATTTGGAAAAAAAAAACTAAAACCTTACAATAGGCTGGGGACGGTGGCTCATGCCTGTAATCCCAGCACTTTGGGAGGCCGAGGAGGGCGGATCTCCTGAGGTCAGGAGTTCGAGACCAGCCTGCCCAACATGGCAAAACCCTGTCTCTACTTTAAAAAAAAAAAAAAAAAAAAAATTAGCCAGGCGTGGTGGCAGGCACCTGGAATCCCAGCTACTCAGGAGGCTGAGGCACGAGGATCACTTGAACCCGGGAGGCGGAGGTTGCAGTGAGCCGAGATTGCGTCACTGCACTCCAGCCTGGGCGACAGAGCAAGACTCTGTCTCAAAAAAAAAAACAAAAAAAAACAAAAAAAAACCACACACCAAAAAACCCACAATATCAGTTATAAATTCAAACCATTTTTTCGTAAGCATTCTCCAATTTTACAAATAGAGACAAATTTTAGTACAAAATATAGATGTGGATATTTTTGGGTTTGGGATGTTCATTCAGCTATTTATAAACTGTTTGCTCCTTCTGTTGCTCAGAGACATATATTCAACTATTAGAAATTCAACTCAATTTTCACAGAACACATTATCTGCACTGTTAATCCTGCCTCTGTCTTTGAGATATTGTTGGAATTGGACTGGTGCCACCGTTGGATTTATTTTTTCCAGTCTCTAGGCAGCATTCAGTTAAAACAGTTACATAAAATTTCAGGCATGAAATGGAGGTTTGCAACATAGCTCAGAATATCGTGTACATATTATGCATAAAAACATATCAGAACTATGTAAAATATTAAAGGCACTTACTGTACAATAAAAAATAAAAATTCTGCAACATCTTCTACATAAAACTCAGGCAATGCTGCAAATACCTTGGGGACATCTGAATTTAAAGGCAGTGTTATACTGTCAAAGAGAAAAAAAGCATAATTTACAAAGTGAAATTATGGTACATCAAATTACAGGGAGTATCATGCTACCATTAAGTAAGTATTTTATTTGGGGAAAAAACTCATTTTGTAATACAACTATGTGATAAACAAACAGGCAAAGAAACTACAACCAGAAATGAACAGGGAATAACGAAGACAGTGCGTATGCTGGGGTATGTGTGAAATGTTTTCCTTTTCTTGATTTCTTTTTTCCCCCGAGACAGAGTTTCACTCTGTCACCCAGGCTGGAGTGCAGTGGTGCAATCTCAGCTCACTCACTGCAACCTCCGTCTCCTGAGTTCAAGTGATTCTTATGCCTCAGCCTCCCGAATAGCTGGGATTACAGGTATGTGCCACCGCATCTGGCTAATTTTCCTATTTTTAGTAGAGAGAGGGTTTCACCATGTTGGCCAGGCTGGTCTCAAACTCCTGACCTCAAGTGATCCGCCTGTCTTGGCCTCCCAAAGTGCTAGGATTACAGGTGTGGGCCACTGCACCCGGCCTTCTTTATTTCTTAAGTAATATGGGAAGGAAATTAATCATAAGTAAAATGGGAAGGAAATTAAAAGGTCCTATTTGGTCATTTTGTGCAACTCAAACTGTCTGAGATAACAGAGCTACACACATATTTAAAATAATATTTTCCACTCCTTTAGGGGACTTGGGCCAATCTCACCAACATCAGTGAACCAGAGACTTCACAACAGTAAAATAATAATAATAAATAAAACAAAAATGGCTGCCTGGAGATGACCAGTTGATGACAAAGTGATCAACAATGTTCTTAACTCACTCAGTGAATTAGCTGGGTATTCCTGGACCCAGTGCTTAGGAGGGCCTAATACATCTGCAGCTTTGGGCTTCCTGTGTACAGATTTCTTTTTCTATCAATCAGACTTTATAGCAAATTTTAAAGAAATACTTGTCAAAATTAAAATAACAGATGTTGACATTCACCTATTATTGTAACTAATTACTAACTACAGGGAAAACGCCTATCAATATAACCACATAGTCTATATAAACACAATCGGGAAACTGAGAAGTAAATTCTCTTTTTTTTTTTTTTGCGTGGGGATAGTCTCACTCTGTGCCCAGGCCAGAGCGCAGTAGAATGATCTCAGCTCACTGCAACCCCTACCTCCCGGGTTCAAGTGATTCTCCTGCCTCAGCCTCCAAAGTAGCTGCGACTACAGGCATCTGCCACCACGCCCAGCTAATTTTTGTATTTTTAGTAGAGATGGTGTTTTGGAATGTTGGCCAGGCTGGTCTTGAACTCCTAACGTCAAGTGATACACTCACCTTGGCCTCCCAAAGTGCTGGGATTACAGGCATGAGCCACCACATCCGGACCTTTCCTTGATTTTTTTTTTTTTTTTTAAGTATATGTGCTGCCAAAGCAAGCACAATTTTCTTTTATTTTCTTTCTTTTTTTTTTTTTTTTTTCTGAGATGGAGCTTTGCTCTTGTTGCCCCGGCTGGAGTACAGTGGCACAATTTGGGCTCACTGCCACCTCTGCCTCCTGCGTTCAAGTGATTTTACTGCCTCAGCTTCCTGAGTAGCTGGGATTACAGGCATGCATAACCATGCCCAGCTAATTTTGTATTTTTAGTAGAGACAGGGTTTTTCCATGTTGGTCAGGATGGTCTTGAGCTCCCGACCTCCGGTGATCCACCAGCCTTGGCCTCCCAAAGTGCTGGGATTATAGGTGTGAGCCACCACACCCTTCCAAGAATTGAATTTTTTTTTCTCCTTTTTTTTTTTTGAGATGGAGTCTCTGTCATTCAGGCTGGAGTACAGTGGCACGATCTCGGCTCACTGCAATCTCCGCCTCCCCAGTTCAAGCAACTCTCCTGCCTCAGCCTCCTGAGTAGCTGGGACTACAGGCGCATGCCACCATACCCAGCTAACATTTTTTTATTTTTAGTAGAGACAGGGTTTTCACCATGTTGGCCAGGCTGGTCTTGAACTCCCGACCTTAGGTGATCCGCCTGCCTTGGCCTCCCAAAGTGCTGGGATTACAGGCGTGAGCCACCGCGCCTGGCCAAGAGAAGTGAATTCTTGATAAAGAAAGGGTTTTAGTTTTAGTTATCAACTTTGCAGGACTTAAAAAAACAACACAGCCCAGCCAGCGAGGGACGAGGGAAAGAGAAAGAAGCTCACTCACTCAGGATACGCGGGGTCCAGGATTCGGAGCAGCAGCTGAATGAGAAGGCCATAAAAATTCAGACATCTTCTCAGGAAGCTCTCGTCAAGCAGGCCAGCATCAGCACAGGCCTTGCACCGTACCAGTTTCTGTGGAAGCAGGATGCCCATACCCAAAGATTAGTCAACAGCTAAATCCCTACAGCGGGACTGGGGCCAGGAGATGGGAAATCTGGGTTCCAGAGCATCTAGAGCTTCATCTCTAACTAGCTATAAGATGCTGGTTGTATCTCAAGATCTTTTTCCTGAGAAAAACAAAGGCATGGTAAGCAAACCACTGAGTACCACCAAGTCTAGCATAAAGTGGTGAGTTACTACCGTGGCCTATAAATAACTTGATTGGGAGAAGGTGGTGATTGGGTGTCAGGGTAAATAGTGGGAAAAAGCCAAACAATCAGTATTCCAGCACCACCTTTTACAAGCTGCCCTTGGGCAAAATGCTGGTTCACTAAGGATGGAATTCCTATCTCAAGTCCTGTTGATGGAATTACACACACACACACACACACACACACACACACACACGGAATTCCTATCTAGAGGCCTGTTAACAGAATTACACACACACACACACACACACACACACACACACACACACACACACAGAGAGGCATACGCTGACATAGAAATTTAAGCAGTTGTTTTTTTGTTGTTTGTTTTCTGAGATAGAGTCTCGCTTTGTTCCCCAGGTTGAAGTGCAGTGGTACCATCTCAGCTCACTGCAACCTCCCGGGTTCAGGCGATTCTCCTGCCTCAGCCTCCTAAATAGCTGGGATTATAGGCATGTGCCACCACACCTGGCTAATTTCTATACAGCTAGTGCTCGACTTACGACCACGATTGGTTCCGACAGACCGGTCGTAACACGATTTGGTCGTAAGTTGAGTAGGCTATATGCACGTGGAGATGGTAGTGCTGCCGGAAGCTGGTCCGCACTGTTGTACGCCCAGCTGGGCAACATTTGCGCTGCCAGACGTGGAGCAGTCGTGGCTAGCGACTGTGGTCGTAAAGTCGAATGGTCGTAAGTTGCATAGGTCGTAAGTCGATCAATACCTGTATTTTTTAGTAGAGATGGGGTTTCACCATGTTGGCCAGGCTGGTCTCGAATTCCTGATCTCTGGTGATCTGCCCACTTCGGCCTCCCAAAGCGCTGGGATTAGAGGCATGAGCCACCACCCCTGGCCATTTTTAACCAGTTTACAGACCCCCTTACAACACATCTGTGGACTGCTTAGGGGGGTCCAGAGACCCCCGATAAGGGCCCCTGGTGAATTGTGCATCTTAAAGAAGTCTAGTCCATTTGTAAATAAAACTGAAATGTTAACTTGTACCAGAAAGCTATGTCAGGTAAACTTTCCACATATTATCCTACTATTCAACAGAATGCATGACCAGCTAACATTCAGGTTTATAACTGGAACATGAATAGAAGAAAAATGCATAAATTTGCTGTCTATGCTTTCTTTGTACAATGTCAGCTGGCATACGTTTTTAGCTATGTCTCACCAGCAAGAATATTCCCATCTGTAGTGGGGTTTGGTGTGACAAATCATTTTCATTAAAAGAAGAACAGGGGCACAGAAAAGAGATCTTTCCACTACCACAGATCTGCTTTGTCAAAGATCATGAAAAGGCATGGCTAGATATACCGGAGTGTGCGTGAATGTTGGGGTGAGTGGCTGGGAGAGCAGGTGAGGAGGGCTTTGCAAAAGGTAGGGAAGGGGCCGGGCGCGGTGGCTCACGCCTGTAATCCCAGCACTTTGGGAGGCTGAGGCGGGTGGATCACGAGGTCAAGAGATCAGGACCATCCTGGTCAACATGGTGAAACCCCGTCTCTACTAAAAATACAAAAAATTAGCTGGGCATGGTGGTGCGTGCCTGTAATCCCAGCTACTCAGGAGGCTGAGACAGGAGAATTGCCTGAACCCAGGAGGCAGAGGTTGTGGTGAGCCGAGCTCGCGCCATTGCACTCCAGCCTGGGTAACAAGAGCGACCCTCCGTCTGCATACTTAGGATTAGAGATAGGTAGGGAAGGGGAGGTGATGTTAAACTGAGAATCATAAAACCCATTAAGAATTCATAGTCCCTTGGGCCGGGCGTGGTGGCTCAAGCCTGTAATCCCAGCACTTTGGGAGGCCGAGGTGGGTGGATCACGAGGTCAAGAGATCGAGACCATCCTGGTCAACATGGTGAAACCCTGCCTCTACTAAAAATACAAAAAATTAGCTGGGCATGGTGGCGCATGCCTGTAGTCCCGGCTACTCGGGAGGCTGAGGCAGGAGAATTGCCTGAACCCAGGAGGCAGAGGTTGTGGTGAGCCGAGATCACGCCATTGCACTCCAGCCTCGGTAACAAGAGCGAAACTCCGTCTCAAAAAAAAAAAAAAAAAAAAAATTCATAGTCCCAGCATAAGCATATCTACCCATATTCTGTCCTGACACTTAAATCATTATACACAGATGTAAGTAAGGTATCAACCAGTTTTTAAATGTGCTATTTTATCTAAAGAGAAAAGAATAATGAAGAAAAAGTAAGGACACTAAACTGCTCACTCAAGGTATACATTCTATTGAGAAAATTATCATTATGAGGCTACTCTACAATTATGCCAATTAACTATACAAACCTTAAGCTGAGTTTTACAGCGCTTCAGCATTTCGCGGTGTCTAGTTGCCAGTGGGGAATCTTTCCATTGGCTTTCATTATTTTTCAAATCTTCCACAGTTCTGAAAACAAAGACGAACAGTCAAATGAAAGAAAACAGCCAGATCCATCTTATCCATGCATCTTGACCATTTCACTGACTTTTTTTTTTTTTTTTTTTTAGAGACGGGGTTTTGCCGTTTTGGACAGGCTGGTTTCAAACTCCTGACCTCAAGTGATCCACCTGCCTCAGCCTCCCAAAGTGCTGGGATTACAGGCGTAAGCCACTGCGCCCAGCCCATTTCACTGACTCTCACACGCAGCTGTTGGTTTGTTTTTCGCATTGTAACATCTTTAAAATCAGAGTATATCTTACAACCAGTGGCAGGTTACAGTTTAATTGGCAGCATTTTTTTTTTTCTTATTGGTTCCTAAAACAAAAATGTGTCTTCAAATGGATGACACTGTAGATTTGGTGAAATACAATCATATTTTTTGTTACAAGGAAGTACATTGTTCTCTTGTTTTTCTGGGAGGAAAAAAGAGAAGTCTCTCATGAAAATTCAAAGTTAGTATGCCTATTCAATTATCCAAAACAAAAGGCTATTTTACTAATGGCATTGTCCTTTACAATTGTTCCCTCTGCTCGGAATGCTGTTCTCTGAGGTTATCTCTGTGGCTTTGCTCCTTCACTCCCTTTGGGTGGCTGCTCAAGCATCATCTGTCTCCACAGTAAAGGCTTCCCCATCACCTAATATGCTGCATATTTTAAAGACCGGCTCTCTTAACAGTATTTCAACCCCTTTCTATCATGATGTTGTGTATAAGACTAGGGATTGCTAAATCTCTAGAAACTGCATTTCCTAGACTCCCTTCCTGCCAGCATTTCTTAAGACCTAGCTGTCACCAAGAGATGAACCCTCCTTCACAGGGTGAGTACTGTGAAGTGGTTGCATGATTGCATCCTTCTGGAAGCACAGTGGTAGACGGGTTTTGGCTGAAGCTGTGGCAGAGGCTGTGCCGTGAGGCTGACCTCCAAAGCAGCTTCCTTGTACAAATTATAGCTCTGAGAATCTTTTATTATAGCCATTCCAATGATTCAATAAACCAACTAGTTCCCCTTTCTGCTTATCACAGATGAATTAGATTCTTTTGTCTACAACTGAAACATGAGTATGGTAGACAAAAGAATGGCTCCTCCAAAGATTCACATCCGAATCCCTGGAGGGAACCTGTGAATATGTGATCCAACGAGGTGAAAGGGACACTGTAGATGTGATTATGGGTATGGGCTTTGAGATGGGAAGATTATCTTGGATGATTTGGGTGGGCCCAATATAATCACAAAGGTCCTTCTAAGAGAAAAAGGGACTCAGAGACAGAGAAGGAGATGTAACAATGGGACAATGGAAGCAAAGGTCAGAGCGAGAAGGAGATCTTGTTGTTGTGTTGTCTTCTTTTTTTTTTTTTTTGAGACTGAGTCTCGCTCTGTCACCTAGGCTGGAGTGCAGTGGCATCACCTGGCTCACCGCAACCTCTGCCTCCTGGTTCAAGTGATTCTCCTGACTCAGACTCCCAAATAGTTGGGATTACAGGCATCTGCCACCATGCCTAGCTAATTTTTTATTTTTAACAGAGACAGAGTTTTCAACATGTTGGCCAAGCTGGTCTTGAACTTCTGACCTCAAATGATCTGCTGCCTCAGCCTCTCAAAGTGCTGAATTACAGGCATGAGCCACCATGCCTGGCCTTGTTTTCTTGTTTGTTTGTTTGTTTTTGGGACAGGGTCTCACTCTGTTGCCCTGGAGTGCAATGGCACGATCTCAGCTCACTGCAACCTCCGCCTCCCAGGTTCAAGCAATTCTCCTACCTCAGCCAACTGAGTAGCAGGGACTACAGTGGTGCGCCACCATGCCTGGCTAATTTTTGTAGTTTTTTGGTAGAGACAAGGTTTCACCATGTTGGCCAGGCTGGTCTCAAACTCCTGACCTCAAGTGATACACCCACCTCAGCCTCCTGAAGTGCTGAGATACACCAGGCAAGAGAAGGAGGTCTAAAGATACTATGTTGCTGGCTTTGAAAATACAGTAAGGGGGGATGAGCAGAGGAATGCAGGCAGCTTTTAGAAGATGGAAAAGGCAAAGGAGATTCTCCTCTAGAGCCTCCTCCGGAGGGAATGTAACCTTGATCTTAGGACTTCTTTTTTTGAGACAGTGTCTCACACTTCCAGGCTGGAGGGCAGTAGCATCATCTCAGCTCAATGCAACCTTGGCCTCCTGGGTTCAAGGGACTCTCCTGCCTCAGCGTCTTGAGTAGCTGGGACTATAGGTGTGCACTACCATGCCCGGCTAATTTTTGTATTTTTAGTAGAGACGGGATTTCACCATGTTGGCCAGGCTGGTCTCTCCTGACCTTAGGTGATCTCCCCACCTCGGCCTCCCAAAGTGTTGGGGTTACAGGTGTGAGCAACTGCACCTGGCCGATTTTAGGACTTCTGATCTTGAGAACTGTAAGACAGAAAGCTTCTAAGACTATTTTAAGGATCAGCTCCAGTTCTACTAATTACGGTACAGAAGAAGTTAATAACTTTACTGGACCTCTTATCTGAAAGTTAAGGCAAAGACTGGGACCCAAAGAATTCAAATAGAGGAGCTTAGGAGACCTAGCTGACTCCAAGTACCTGAATCTCTAAATTCCCTGAGCCTTGCTTGCTAGCACAAGCAGTTTCTATAAAGACCTCATTGGAGGCAGTCACCTGCAGGGTAATGCTGTCTTCCCCTAGGTTCTATCCCATCATCCCTGTTTGCTTCCAGAACCACAACTAGAGTCAGATCACAGACTGTCCTTATGACCTTATTACAAAATTGCATGCCAGGTAAGTACATATTTGAAGGGAAAAAAAATTGGCAAGATTTGCTAACGTATTATGCTAGTTTTCTATTGCTGCTATAACAAGTTACCACAGCCTTAGTGGGTTCAAACTACACAATTATAGTCTTAGAGTTCTGGAAGTCTAAACAGGGTCAGCAGGGATGGTTTCTTCTGGAGGCTCTAAGGGAGAACAAGTTTCCTTGCCTTTTCCAGCTTCCAGGTTACCAGATTGGCTCATGACCCCAAACTACTCTGACCTTTGCTTCCTCATCACATTCTGTCTCTCCCTCTGACCCTCCTGATTGCTTCTCCCTTAGGAAGACCTTTGCAATGACACTGGATCTACCCAAGTAATCCAGGATAATCTCCCCACTTCAAGATGATAAACCTGATCACAGCTGCAAAGTCCCTTTAACCAAGTTAGAGAACATATTCACAGGTTCCGAGACTAGGATGTGGGCACCTTTGAGATGCCATTTTTCTACCCACCACATATGTACTGGCAGAAACATGACGGTTATGTAGGTGATATATGGGAATGGATTTTGAAGATGCTTGATCAGCAAGAGAAGAAAATGCTGATATACTTCTATGTAGGGCTAAAATCACTGACATGATTATACCTACTGGAGACCCTGGATTCGGTATTATTCTGAGTAGTTGGGAGAGGTTCATACTGTGCAACCAACTAGTTGGCAAAACTTTGAATTGACAGTGACCTATACTGAATGAAGTTGAGTTGCCAAATATTATTTGATCTAATTTAGAGGAAATGATTTGAAAACTTAAAGAGCTTGGAAAATTAAGGCGGATGATTTACCATATGTGATTTACCTCAGATAATCCCCTTTCCAATACACATACACACAGTCCAACTATGCCCTAGAAGATACTTCCTATATCACAGCATTGAAAAATACACACATGAGGGGAACAAAAATGTCTCTGGCCGGGCGCGGTGGCTCAAGCCTGTAATCCCAGCACTTTGGGAGGCCGAGGCGGGTGGATCATGAGGTCAAGAGATCGAGACCATCCTGGTCAACATGGTGAAACCCCGTCTCTACTAAAAATACAAAAAACATTAGCTGGGCATGGTGGCGTGTGCCTGTAATCCCAGCTACTCAGGAGGTTGAGGCAGGAGAATTGCCTGAACCCAGGAGGCGGAGGTTGCGGTGAGCCGAGATAGCGCCATTGCACTCCAGCCTGGGTAGCAAGAATGAAACTCCGTCTCAAAAAAAAAAAAAAAAAAAAATGTCTCTGAAAAGCACAATAAAGGCTATCTGTTGATAGCTGGTCTGGAAGCAAAGGTTATAGATACTGCCATTGAAATGGATCCTCCAAAGTCAGTGGGAGTGATGGTATCCCAGAATGGTAATCCATTGTAGGATAACACATAAATCCACAAATACAGTTTAAAATCTTTATAAGCCTCTCTCAGTAATTGATATGATAAGCTGATAAAATCTGCAGATATAAGGAAAACTTGAACAGAGAATGAACAAGCTTGACCTAAATACTACATGTGAACACTGTAAAAACAATACAGATAGCAGTCTTTTCAGGTCTACCCATGTAAAAGGCTATGAAGTAACTCTCAATAAACTTCAAAAGACATAAATCACACAGAATGTATTTTCTGACCATGATGGAATTTAGCTAGAAATCAACTAACAAAAGATACATAGACAAATACCCTAAGAATCCAGATTTTAAATAATGTATTTAAAAATAACTCACAGGTCATATTAAAAAAAAACCCCAAAAATTAGAAAACATTTTAAACTGACTAATAAGATATGATATACTAAAAATGAGGGATGCAGCTAAAACCACACTAAAAGAGAAACAAAATAGTCTTAAATAAATACATAAGCAAGAGTTGAAAAGGATGATCTAAACATCCATCCCAAGAGGCAGTAGAAAGCAAATTAAAACTAAAAGCAGAAATAATAAGGATCCCACAGCCATGAAAATGATAGAAAAGATATTATGAGCAACTTCATGTCAAAACATTTTCAAACTTTAGATAGGAAAACTGACACAAGATGGAATGACAATCTAAACAGTCCTGTATCTTTTAACTGACTGAAATCCATAATTAAAAATATCCTGACACAGAAAGCTCTTAAGCCCTGACAACTTCATCACTAAATTTTTTCTGACATTTAAGGAAGAAACAACGTAATTCTTATACAATAAACTCTTACAGGGAACATAAAAAAAGGAGAACATTCTCCAGTTCCTTTTTTTTTTTTTTTTTTTTTTTGCTTTTGGTGAGACAAAGTCTCACTCTCTTACTTAGGCTGTAGTGCAGTGGCTCCATCTTGGCTCACTGCAGCCTCTGCCTCCTAGGTTCAAGTGATTCTCCTGCTCGGCCTCCTGAGTAGCTGGGATTACAGGCATGATCCACCATGCCTGGCTAATTTTTGTATTTTTAATAGAGATGGGATTTCACCATGTTGGCCAAGTTGGTCTCGAACTCCTGACCTCAGGTGATCCATCCACCTCAGCCTCCCAAAGTGCTGGGATTACAGGCGTGAGCCACTGCACCTAGCCCCCTAGTTAAGGCAGCATAACCTTAATACCAAAATTTGAGATGCACTTAATAAGAAATGAAAATTATAGGTCCGGCTTTCTTTTGGACAGATGCAAAAATCCTAAACAGAATATTAGCAAATTGTGTATCTAATGAGATATAAAAACATTAAAGTTAAGTTTACTCCAGGAGCAAAAGATTGGTTTAATAACAGAAAACCAACTAATGTAATTCAACCACATTAGCAGGATAGAGGAGAAAAGTCTAGTCTCCTCAATGGATATTGTAAAAGCATTTAATAAAATTCGACTAGTGCTAAGGGAATTAACTACTGAAATAAAAGAAAATTTTCTTAATCTGGTAACTGAGGATATATAGAAAGCTTTCCTCCACTAACTGGAATATGGAAATTTCGAGGTTATTTCTATTTAACATTGTACTAAAAATTATAGCCCAGGCATTAATGCATGAAAAAAATATATAAGAAATAAAATTGTCATCATTTATAGACATGATTATGTGTAGAAACGAAATCATAAAGAATCTGCAGAGTAACTATTAGAATTAGTAAGTGATATTAGGCTGGGCATGGTAGGGGCTCACACCTGTAATCTCAGCACTTTGGGAGGCCGAGGTGAGTGGATCGCCTGAGGTCAGGAGTTTGAGACCAACCTGGCCAATGCAGCAAAACCCTGTTTCTACTAAAAATACAAAAAATTAGCCAGGCGTGGTGGTGCACATCTGTAATCCCAGCTATTTGGGAGGCTGAAGCAGGAGAATCACTTGAACCTGGGAGGCAGCGGCTGCAGTGAGCTGAGATTGCACCACTGCACTCCAGCCTGGGCGAAAGAGCGAGACTCCATCTGAAAAAAAAAAAAAAAAAAAGAATTAGTAAGTGATTTAAGCAAGATAGATCCAGAGATATAAATATGATTCAGTTTCTCTCATAGCCAGACTACAAGGGTTCTAGACCAAAAAGAAGAAGTGGCTTCATTATTATTCCAGATGACCTGCTCAAAAATACTTGCTTCTGTGTTCCTGTGACTTGTTTGTTTGTTGGTATTAGTACACAGGAAGAGATGCTTAGATTAAGAAACACAACAATGGTACTAATGAATTGGGAATCTAGGCTGCTATCTGGCCATTTTGGACTCCTCGTGCCACAGAACAGCCAAAAAGAGAATTACATGTTGGCAGGAGTAAATGATCTTGATTATCAAGGAAAACCATGCTTACTTTTCCTTTTTCTTTTTCTTTGAGATGAAGTCTTGCTCTATCGCCCAGGCTTGAGTGCAGTGATGTGATCTCAACTCACTGCAACCTCCGCTCCTGGGTTCAAACAATTCTCTGCCTTAGCCTCTTGAATAGGGGGGATTACAGGCACCCCACCACGCCTGGCTAATTTTTGTATTTTTAGTAGAGATGGGGTTTTACCATCTTCACCAGGCAGGGGTCTTGAACTCCTGACCTCATGATCCACCCGCCTCAGCCTCCCAAAGTGCTGGGATTACAGGCATGAGCCACCGCGCCTGGCCCCATGGTTACCTTTTCACAGTCCAGGGAGGAAAGGGTATGTCTGAAACCCAGGGGATCCTTTAAACTTTTTGTTTAAAGTGCCTCCTAGTAATGTATGCCCAGTGGGAAAAGTTAATGGAAGTCTGTAGTTAATATAAACAGAGTGAAACACCCAGGGTTCAGAACTCTCAGAAATCAAGGTTTGGATCACTTTACCAGGTAAAGAACTCTGGACAACTGAGGAACATGGATGTGGTGCTAGAGGTAGACAGAACACTATATAACGTACATACCTCCCCCAATATTCAAAACTATGGTTCACAATGGAACTGCTTGCCCGGAGGGAAAGTGGTAACCCAGGCAATCCCAGGATACCGCATCATGGCACATACCTATTGAGCTCCCGGATAGCCCGGAGTCTGCGGATATAGCGACGGCAACTAGGTAGAATAGAGAGGTGGTGAGCATGCAGGGTGAGAAAGAAGCACTCCGTAGGGAATTTCGGCTCAGAAAATGGAGGCTGATCGCCATCTAGGAAAAATAACATAATTCCCTAAATAAAATCTATTACATGTCTCAGAGAAAAAGCTCAATTCAGAAGAGAAAATTACATTTGAAGTTTTATGAAGTTTGAGGATACTATTTATTTATTTATTTTTTGAGATGGAGTGTTGCTCTTGTCACCTAGTCAGCAGTGCAACGGCATAATCTTGGCTTACTGCAAACTCCGCCTCCCTCCCGGGTTCAAGTGATTCTCCTGCCTCAGCCTCTTGAGTAGCTGGGATTACAGGCATGCACCACTATACCTGGCTACTTTTGCATTTTTAGGAGAGACAGGGTTTCATCATGTTGGGCAGGTTGGTCTTGAACTCCTGACCTCAGGTGATCCACCCTCCTTGGCCTCCCCAAGTGCTGGGATTACAGGCATGAGCTACCATGCCTGGACAGAAGTTTAAGGATACTTTATCAATTATAAATTTAAGCAATGTTATAAGAAGAAGAGATTTCCTCTCATCTCCATTCAAGGACCAGGTATTCTGTCCTACCTAGTTAAACGTGTATATAGATGTCCATCAACAATTTTTTTTTTTGAGAGAGGGTCTTACTCTGTCACCTAGGCTGAAGTGCAGTGGTATAATCAAAGCTCACTGCAGCCTCAATTTCCAGGGCTCAAGTGATCCTCCTGTCTTAGCCTCCTAGATGGCTGGGAACACAGATGTGTATCACCATGCTGGGCTAATTTTTTTCTTTGTAGAGATGGGGTTTCCTTATGCTGCCCAGGCTGATCTTGAACTCCTGGGCTCAAGCCTCAGCCTCCAAAAGTGCCCGGATTATGAGTGTTAGCCACCATTCCCAGCCCGTCAACTATATTTGGTGATATTCCTTACTGATGTATAAAAGTCTCCTTTTTTTGCCGGGTGTGGTGGCACGCGCCTGCAGTCCCAGCTACTCGGGAGGCTGAGGCTGGAGGATCACTTGAGTCCAGGAGTTCTGGGCTGTAGTGCACTATGCCAATCGGGTGTTCACACTAAGTTCGGCATCAATATGGTGACCTCCTGGGAGCGGGGGACCACCAGGTTGCCTAAGGAGGGGTGAACCGGCCCAGGTCAGAAACAGAGCAGGTCAAAACTCCCATGCTGATCAGTAGAGGGATCGCGCCTGTGAATAGTCACTGCACTCCAGCCTGGGCAACAGAGGGAAACCCCATCTCTTAAAAAAAAAAAAAAAAAAAATCTCCTTTTTTCAACACCATACACAAATATTTAAATCTTAAAATGGTATTATGTTAATAAATTGATTCCAGAGCCGTTTCTCTAGATATTTCTTTTTTTCTAATTTGTTTCTACTCTAAATACTATTAAGACACATACATATTATCTCTAATGATATGCTATTTCTTTCTTTTATTTTTTTTTTTTTAAAGACAGAGTCTCCCTCTGTTGCTGAGGCTGGGGTGCAGTGGCGCAACCTCGGCTCACTGCAACCTCTGCCTCCCAGGTTCTAGGCAATTCTCCTGCCTCAACCTCTGGAGTAGCTGGGATTACAGGTGCACACCACCATGCCTGGCTAATTTTGTATTAGAGATGGGGTTTCGCCATGTTGACCAGGCTGATCTTGAACTCCTGACTTCAGGTGACCCACCTGCTTTGGCCTTCTAAAGTGCTGCGATTACAGGTGTAAGCCATGGCACCTGGCCTCTTTTTTTTTTTTTTTTTGAGATGATGTCTCTCTCACCAAGGCTGGAGTACAGTGGCACGATCGTGGCTCACTGTAGCCTCAACCTCCTGGGCTCAAGCCATCCTCCCATTCCAGCCTCTCCAGTAACTGGGAACTGTGACTACAGATTCATGGCACCATAACCAGCTAGGCTTTTTATTTTTAGTAGAAATGAAGTATTGCCACGTTGGTCAGGCTGGCCTTGAACTCCTGAGCTCAACTGATCCTCCTGCCTGTACCTCCCAAAATGCTGGGATTATAGGCATGAGCCACCATGCCTGGCTGCTTCATTTCTCAAAGGATACACTTCTCCCTGCTTCACAACTGGGTGAAATCCTCTTTAGTTTTCTCTTAAATTTTAGCTGTTCATTCAAATGACAGATACTGACTTTATGTTCATTTTAGGCTTACAATTCAACAACGGTTGAAATATTTTTCTGGAATATGTGCATCTAATCATTCATCCTATTCATGAATAATTAGACAGATGGGTTGCCTGAGCCCAGGAGTTTGAGACCAGCCTGGGCAATATGGCAAAACTTCATCTCTATAAAAAATACAAAAAAAAACAGCCATGCATGGTGGCATGTGCCTGTAGTCCAAGGAAGTTTGGAAGCTGAGGTGGGGGTACTGCCTGAGCCCAGGGAGGTTGAGGTTGGAGTGAGCCAAGATCACATAACTGCACTCCAGCGTGGGCGACAGAATGAGACTCTCTCTCAAAAAAAATAAATCAATAAAATAAAATAAAATAAATGCTTTTTTTTTTTTTTTTTTTTTTTTTTTTTTGAGACAGAGTCTTGTTCTATTGCCCAGGCTGGAGTGTAGTGGCAAGGTCTTGGCTCACTGCAACCTCCGCCTCCCAGGTTCAAGTGATTCTCCTGCCTCAGTCTCCCGAGTAGCTTGGGATTACAGGCACACACCACCACGCCCAGCTAATTTTTTGGTATTTTCAGTAGAGATGAGTTTCACCACCTTGGCCAGGCTGATCCTGAACTCCTGATTTCATGATCCACCTGCATTAGCCTCCCAAAGTGCCAGGATTACAAGCATGAGCCACTGCGCCTGGCTGCCATGGGATTTCGATGTCTGTCATTAAATAGTATCTTTTGTTGTTGTTGAGACAGGGTCTTACTCTGCCACCAGGCTGGAGTGTAGTGGCATGATGACAGCTCAGTGAAGCCTTGACCTCCCTGGGTTCAGGTGACCCTCCCTCTTCAGTCTCCTGGGTAGTCACCAAACCCAGCTAATTTTGGTATTTTTTGTAGAGACAGTGTTTAGCCATGTTGCCCACCTGGTCTCAAACTCCTGGGCTCATGCAATTCGCCTGCCTCGACCTCCCAAAGTGTTGGGATTATAGGCATGAGCCACTGCACCTGGTCAATATGTTTTATATTATAGAGAGAAAAGATCGACAATTATAACCCCTTCAAAATATTCCTACTCTCAAACCATCAATTCATCAACATCTGTGAAATATTTCATGAGAGTTTTAATGGGTATATACATTCTATATATAAAACTTTTAGTGTATTAATTTTTATTATGTTTCTCTATCTTGTACAGTCATTTTATGGTGCAGTGGTAACAATCTGTGAGGAATTACTAGCACCCAGAGAAAAGGGCAGTCTTTTAATGACCTAGTCATGAACACAGTACTCACAGAGTTCATTCAGCCAGTCGTTCACATCTTCCATTGTTGCATTCACACGTGTCTCATCATTTGGAAGAGTAATTCGACATCGTGGGTGAAAAATATACGTGGGATCAACTGTTTCTAACTTGATTTTTGTACTTAGCTGCTGTAGTACCCAAAGGAAATTCAGCATAAATCCATCTGTAGACACTAATCTATCATCTGTCTGTGAAAGATGAAAAAAAAAGTATTTTTAAAGATTAAAAAAAAATATTTTTTTGAGATGGGGTCTCGCTCTGTTGCCTAGGCTGGAGTGAAGGGGTGTGATCTCAGCTGCAACCTCCACCTCCCGGGCTCAAGCAATCCTCCCACCTTAGCCTCCTAAGTATCTGGGACCACAGGCGCGTGCCAACACACCCAGCTAATTTTTGTATTTTGAAGGACAGGGTTTCACCATGTTGGCCAGGTTGGTATTGAACTCCTGACCTCAGGTGATCCACCCACCTCAGCCTCCCAAAGTTCTGGGATTACAGGTGTAAGCCACTGTGCCCAGCCAAGGAAAAGTATTTAAAATAACAACATGAATAGAAATTTTGGCAAACTTTGTAAAAAAACAGACTGAGTTTTAAAATATAACCGTATCCTAAAATAAATTAGAAGACATACATATCATCACCACTGGCATTCTATTAATTCTATTAGCAGGTGCTACTTGTTGAATAGCACCTATTATATAATTATTATTTATATCAGAGACATTTTATACATTCCTTTACTGAACCACCACAGTAACTCTTACAGGTCAGTAATACTGCTGTTAACATTTTTTACAGGAGGAAACCCAGACTCAGTGACTCTGAAATGATTTGCCTAAGCCTCAAAATTAGTAAGTAGAAACATAATATATGTTGCTTGCTTGCTTTCTCTTTTTTTTTTTTTTTTTGAGACAGGATTTTATTCTCTCGCCCAGGCTGTAGTGTAGTGGTGCGAACACGGCTCATTGTAGCCTCAACTTCCTGGGTGTAAGTGATCTTCCTGTTTCAGCCTCCTGAATAACTGGGTCTACAGGCATGTGCCACTACACTGGGCTACTTTTTAATTTTTTTGTAGAGACAGGGTCTCCCTATTTTGCCCAGGCCAGTCTCGACCTCCCAGGCTCAAGTGATCCTCTCGCCTCAGCCTCCCAAGTAGCTGGAACTACAGGCTTGTGCCACCATGCCCAGATAATTTTTGTATTTTTTGTAGAGTTGGTGTCTTGTTATGTTGCCAGAGCTGGTTTCAAACACCCGGGTTCCAGCGATCCTCCCACTTCAGCCTCCCAAAGTGCTGGGATTACAGGCATGAGCCACCATGCCCAGCCTCTTTCTCCTCTCTATTTCCCTTAAGAGCATCAAAACAACTACTTCCACTTGTTATCATGTGACATTGTTTCTCTAGGTGACAGTATCAGCACACTCCTGCATTAACAATATAACAATGTAACCTGATTACCTCTGTTAAGAAAAAAATAATAATATGACAATAAGAATGACAGTTAACATTGGTTGAGTGATCATTGTGTACCAGGCACCATTCTAACAACTTTACATATAATAAACCCAGTACTAGTATTAACCCCACTTAGCAGATGAAGAAATGAAGGCACAGAGAAGTAATTAAGGTCCTGCAGCTAGTAAACAGTAGAATCACGATCAGAAATCACCAAATTTATGCTCTTCTCTCTATATTTTTTTGCTTCTCAGTATATATGTCACATCATTCATTCATTATTTATTAATAATCAAGGAAGGATGTCCTTTTCTCCTCTGGCAAAGCAGCCACAGCCAGTGGCCTCTGTCACCTGGATTGATGCACTCACGCCCTTGCAGCTGCCTCCTTGGGTCTGTTCCCGGCTGACCCCTTCTGCTTTAGTCCATCGACATGGCAGCTTTTGTGGTTTTCCTGCTGAAAACCCTCCCATGGAGCCCTGCCCACCCACTAACTCCAGGACCCACCCTTCCCTCCTGTTCACTCTTCTCCAGCCACAAAGGCCTACATGCTGGGCTTGTACCGAAGCTGCTTTGTTTCCACTTTAGATCCTTACACATGCCTAGAAAGCTCTTTTCTCAGCACTGCAATGGCGAACTCTTTCCTCTCTAACCAATGTCACCTCCTCAGAGAGGCCTTTCCTGCCACACAATCAAAAATCACCTTCATACCTTCCTTCTGGTACCTACAGTTTTTCTCACAGCCTTTATTTTGCTCTATTTTCTTCACTGATTTTACGACTGTCTAAAATCATATATTTATATGTCTACTCATTTACCCTGTGGAATATGAGCTCCACAAAAGCAGGAAGCTTGTCTACCCTGTTGAATACTGTACCCCCATTCCTAGAACAATGCCTGGTAGGTGCTGACTAAATCCGGGTCAGATGAACGAATTTGACAAACGGGAATCCTACCTGCATCTGCGCCTTCTTCATATTGGCATTGACGACAGCTGCCATGTAACTGAGAGCGGCCTCACGAGTTTCACCATTTAACAAAATACTATGCAGAATCTTAAAAAGCTCTTGCTGAAATTTGTTTTAAAAAAAGAAGAAACAAATTAAAACTATTTTGAACACAATTCCTTTTTGACTTTAAGAACAGCTAGTCTCCTTCCCACGTTCTCTCCTCACCCACTTCTACTCATTTTAGGAAAGCCTGAGTGAAAGAAGAATATAAAAAATATCCATATTCAACTGTGTCAAGGTAATCAGCATGAAAGCAAGAATATGGAGTGGGGGAGGTGGGCAGTTACAGTATTTTTTTTGGTTTTTTTTTTTTTGAGACGGAGTCCAGCTCTGTTGCCAGGCTGGAATGCAGTGGCGCGATCTCAGCTCACTGCAACCTCCACCTCCTGGGTTCAAGTGATTTTCCTGCATCAGCCTCCCGAGTAGCTGGGATTTACAGGCACTTGCCACCACGCCCAGCTAACTTTCGTATTTTTAGTAGAGGCAGGGTTTCACCATGTTGGCCAGTATGGTCTCGATCTCCTGACCTTATGATCCACCCACATCAACCTCCCAAAGTGCTGGGATTACAGGCGTGAGCCACCGTGCCTGGCCGGCAGCTAAAATTTTGATAAAATAGGCTTTGTTACTTCTTTTCCATGATCAAAATTACCTTAGTTATCCAAGCCTATAGCTTCTCTGCCTTTTTTCTTTTTTTGAGATGAAGTCTTGCTCTGTCGCCCAGGCTGGAGTGCAGTGGCGTGATCTCAGCTCACTGCAACCTCCACCTCCTGGGTTCAAGCAATCCTCATGCCTCAGCCTCCCGAGCAGCTGGGATTACAGGCATGCACCACCAAGCCTGGCTAATTTTTGTATTTTTAGTGGAGACAGGGCTTTGCCATGTTGGCCAGGCTGGTCTCGAATTCTTGACCTCAGGTGATCCACCCCCCTTGGCCTCCCAAAGTGCTGGGATTACAGGCGTGAGCCATCACGCCCAGCCCTTCTCTGCCTTTGAGAATTGAAGACATATTAATCTGCATTTGGGATAAGCAAGTCGGTGAGGGGTGTGTGCAAACTAACAGCTCTTGCCCACCCCCAGTGTAAATGGCTAAGGGTCAGCTGGAGGAAGAGCAGGGCCGCTAAGCTTAGGACCAGCTCCCAGTGGTGCTACATACAAAGGCAGCATACTGCTGTTGTTACAATTGTCATTCAAAACACAGGTTACTTACTTAGGGTTTATCTTTTTAATATAAGATCATACTGGCTTTTGTTAGCCGTTTGTGTACCAGGCATTGTCCAGTCTACAAAATAGGAGCTCCCTACCTGGAGCTCATCCGTCGTACTTTCTCTGGATTTGTTTTCTGAGCACTTACCCTTCCGAGTTCTAAGTAATGCTGCAATGATTGGCTAACCACTCGAGTGTTTTCCAGGGTAATGGCAGGCCCTGAGAAATATTTTTCAACCACTTTAACCTGAAAAGAGAAGGAAAAAATGCAATCAACACATAGTGTACATTTGGGAAAGAATCTGAATAAAGGAGCAGCAAAGTACAAGTAGCCACTATACTTACATCATCTTCTGCAAAGACTGAGAAGCTAAAGAAAGCCCCCAAGTAAGAGAGTCTCTGCAGCTCCCGCCCACAGCCGGGGCTTAAGGATTTCGGCAACCACAACGGCAAAGAAGCCACCTAGGCAGAAGATGGAAGAGGCCAGTCAAGCCGCTCAATGGGCCGGTGAGGGAAAAATGCAATGAAAACCCGCCAGCTCCTCTATATTTTCACAAGATATTATTAAAACTTATATGTTTCGGCCAGGCACGGTGGCTCACGCCTGTAATCCTAGCACTTTGGTAGGCCAATACGGGTGGGGGTGGGTCACCTGAGGTCAGGAGTCTGAGACCACCCTGGCCAACATGGAGAAAGCCCATCTCTACTAAAAATACAAAAATTAGCCAGATGCGGTGGCGTACAGCTGTAATCCCACCTATTGGGGAGGTTGAGGCAAAATAATCGCTTGAACCCAGGAGGCAGAGGTTGCAGTGAGCCAAGATTGTACCACTGCACTCCAGTCTGGGTGACAGAGCAAGACTCTGTCTCAAAAGAAAAAAAAAGAAGTTTTTATGTTTCAAGATATTATCTGATGAAGTTCAAACGAACTCTTCTTACTTATACTACCAAAGGAATAACTTTTCCATAGGACTTGTTAGTTTAGTTGTACAATACTTATAAAGGAAAAAAAAAATCAGGCCCTGTGCGGTGGTTCACACCTGTAATCCCAGCACTTTGGGAGGCCGAGGCAGGTGGATCACCTGAGGTCAGTAGTTCAAGACCAGCCTGGCCAACATGGTGAAACCCCATCTGTACTAAAAATACAAAAAAAATTAGCCTGGCATGGTAGTGTGCACTTGTATTCCCAGCTACTTGGGAGGCTGAGGCACGAGACTCACTTGAACCCAGGAGGTGGAGGCTGCCATGTGCTGAAATCGCAGCACTACACTCCATCCAGCCTGGGTGATAGAGCGAGATTCTGTCTTAGAAAAAACAAAAAGGAAAAAAATCATAGAAATGAACAAGTGTAATACAGGAAATAACGTGTCTAACAATAATGTAACAGTTGAGAGCTTTCCAGACACGTTACCTCCGCCTACACCTAAATGTCCTTCAAGAGAAGTTTTCCAGGTCATCTCACTGGAGGAATGCCTTCTGGGTTACGATATATTCACTGAAAACGTGCAAGCCCATCAGGTGAGTGCTTACCAAATTGCACACAGGGTGTGTCTTCCCAAACTTGGTTTCACAGAGCTCACCTAGTGCCTAGAAATAAGATCAGAGTCATTTAAATGCATTTCATCTGAAACTGACTGTCATTTGTAGCATCAAGAAACAGCTTTAACTGCTGCTATAAATGCATTCCCTCTACAATGGCACACATGCATTCCCACTGAAATGGCAGCAGCTTTACTACTTCTTCTGATTAATGAATGAATACATATGCAATGTGAAAAACTTGAAAACAGAAATATAAAATGAAACTAAAAATTACTCAAACTTTACCCTCAAAGATAACCTCTACTGATATTCTGAGCAACAGTTTTCCAGATCTAATTTTGTGCACTGTATCTATCTATCTATGTTTCTTACAAAAATGTTTTTCACATGGGAAGCCTTTGGAAATGCCAGTGGTTATGCCACACCCTTGGTGAATTCAATCGCAATGTCTAGGGCGGGGAGCCAGGCATAAGCCCCTTTAAAGATCCCCAGCTGATTCGAAGGTATGGCACAGCAAGATCCACTGACCCAGCGAATGATCACAATTATTTCTGAGTTTAGCTTCCACAGTCTTTCTCTCCCTGACTCTCATTATTGCACCATCTCACTCACTGCACCCTCGTTATTAGACAAGCACCAGTAATGGCACAAAATGAAATCACTGTCTACCACAATGGAGGCCTCTGTCTTTTGACCAAAAGGACATTTTGTTGGTATCAGATGCTAAAAGCTCCTCACTGAAACATCAAGCTAATTCACACCAAAACCCAAAAGCCAACAATCCCATGAAGGAACATTTATATAATACTGTGATTATTAGTGTTCACTAAAATACTTCATCGCTGAACTCAAACAATCAGATTATTTCACTTCCTTTCATCTGCCACAGGCAGAACAATACATTCGGATTCAAAAAATTTTATCAGGAGCCCTAGTAACATTTACAATGGAAAGAGCCTGGCGTAAATCCGCTCGAAATTATTTTTTAAAGTAGGAATTCTGGTTTCACCTTCTAATTTCCCAGCATTCTTGTAGCCCTTTAGTGTCATGATAGGTTTGAATTTTTTAAATAGATAAATGCACGCTTTGTGTCCGGCTGTTTTAGCATTTATCACAGTATCTGTTCAACTGTTGTGCTGCAGCTCTTATTTTTGCAGTAGCCTTGAGGAGAGGGACCTTGTCTTCCTAGCTTCTGAATCTCCAGGTCTAGCACAGAACAGATACTTGGTAATAAATTCATGGTATAATGAAATCCAATCAGTGGAATGAGTTAAACAAATACAGTAAGAAAAACAACTTAATCATGGTCTCAATTTATGTAAGACTTAATTTATAAATGAAATAAACTAATTTCATTTAGACGTTTTTTCCTTTATACTTCTGCAATGAAAAATATTCAGTAATACTTCAAAATATTTTTCTCCCAAAATTTCAAATAAGAAAATTCAGAAAAGAAAGGGGCTTCTAATTTTCATTCTAGTTTCAGCGTTTTCACAACAGTCAAGTCCCCCCATGGGAATCTAGCTGAAACTTCTGTCCACAATTTACACTTGCTCTAGTGCCTTCAAGAGCTAAGCAGATTTTTGCTTCCCACTGCAGACGAAGTGTATGGTTTTAGGCAACAGGGAAGGTGAACAAGAGAGTTACCCTGAGATTTTCTGCACAAAGTAAATACATAAAGATAAAATTGTATAAGTTTTCTTAGTATGTGCAAATTTGCTTTTAATTTACATTTTTAATAGTTTTGGGGTTTTTTTTGTTTTTGTTTTTTGTGAGACAGAGTCTTGCTCTGGTGTCCAGGCTGGAGTGCAATTGCACGATCTTGGCTCACCACGGCCTCTACTTGCCGAGTTCCAGCGATTCTCCTGCCTCAGCTTCTCGAATAGCTGGGACTGCAGGGGTGGACCACCATGCCTGGCTAAGTTTTGTATTTTTAGTAGAGACGGGGTTTCACTCACTATGTTGGCCGGTCTGGTCTTAAAGTCCTGACCTCATGATCTGCCCGCCTTGGTCTCCCAAAGTGTTGGGATTACAGGCATGAGCCACTGTACCCAGCCATTTTTGTTTTTTTAAAAAATAAAATTTCATCCAAAGTATGGTATGTTCATTGTTAAGAGAATCAAAAGGATACCACAATAGCTATCTTTTTCCTAAGCTGTACAGTATGGCAGAGTACATGGTAATAAGGGCGTCACTAACGCCTGTCTACAACTTGGATAGGTGAATAAGTACCAGGCTGTTAACTGTCTTCACTGACGCATCTCACTGCACACCAAACACTGCATGGCCAACACAGTGATTTCATGTTTTAAATGTGAAAACAAGGTTGATCATGAACCTGAAAGAAAAGTGTATGTCAAAATAATCTGAAAGAAAAACATCGATTGAATGAGTTAAAGAAAAAAGAACAATGCTTTACCATGAGGGGGTATTTAAAGTAGTCACTATCGAGGGAGCACTCTTTGGCAGCAAGAGCCAGGCCTTGTAAAATGGGGATAAATATCTATAAGAAAAAAAAACAAAATCAGAAATATAAGTTTAAGAGAATCTAAGAATGGGAAGCATGACAAATAAGGTGCTAGAACTGAAAGTCCAGGCAATTGCATTCCTTCCCCAGGGAAAAGCTTTTTTGCATATAAAAGTCTAGAATTCCACCAGAGTGTTCTTTCAAGGCTAACCATGTGGTAATACAGCTGAATTCTCCAGAAGAGGATTTTGATGAATTCTAATACTCTAACAGGGCTCCTCGTAATTCAACAAAACCCATAAATTGGGAGCCTGCTAAAGGACTCTCCAGGGGTCCTCACTCTACTCAACTAAATTCTGCACACCTCGGCAACCAGTGTGTTCTTGATTACCAAGCATCTATAACCTGTTAAAAAAAATTCAAGTAAATGTTCCAATATTTCCTCACATCTATCAATTTTTTTTGAGATGGAGTCTCACTCTGTTGCCCAGGCTGGAGTGCAATGGCGAGGTCTCGGCTCACTGCAGCCTCCACCTCTGGGTTCAAGCGATTCTCCTGCCTTAGCCTCCTGCTTCAGCCTCACAAGTAGCTGGGAACTACAGACGCCCTTCACCACACCAGCTAATTTTGTATTTTTAGTAGAGACTAGGTTTTACCATGTTGGCCACACTGGTCTCAAACTCCTGACCTTGTGATCCGCCTGCCTTGCCTCCCCAAGTGCGGGGATTACAGGCGTGAACCACCGCGCCCAGCCCTCTATTAATATTTTTTAAAAGCCTTTCCTTGTTTATTTCGAGGAAAACGAGATAAACAGGCCAACAATGAATATTATTATTACATTAAGCTTAATTTAGAGCGAAGAGCTAATGGGTGAATGTTGAAATTGAAAAAGAAAGCTTTAGTTAGAAAGCCTTACCTCCACGTATAGTGTAATCAATACATTAACCTGCTATTGGCACTTAAAGGAACTCAAATCTGCTTTTATATGTTTATGATTAATGCAGAGTAACACCATGCAAAATTTACTCAGCCTAGCTCACCTTCAAATTTCACAATGTACTCACTGATCAACACATTTCGGGAGTTGGTTGGGATTTAAGGCTAATAACATTTAATAGAAAATGTTGTAAACAACAGCTGACAATCTGAATGCCAACAAGTTGTAACAGGAGTATACCATGCAGCCACTAGAAAACTTGAAAAATTCCCTTTCCTACTAATTTCATCCTATGATACTGAGCACTTTAATCATTTAAAGAGCACAGTATTTAAAAAAAAAAAAAAAAAAAAAGGGCCCTGGATGACAAAGTGTCCATGGAGTGTTTTGAGATATCAACACAGCTCTGGAGGAGATCATTCTATGTTTTGTTTTGTTTTATTGGAGATGGAGTCTAGCTCTGTCACCTGGGCTGGAGTGCAATGGCAGGATCTCAGCTCACTGCAACCTCCGCCTCCCGGGTTCAAGTGATTCTCCTGCCTCAGCCTCCTGAGTAGCTGCAATTGTAGGTGCCCGCCAGCACGTCCGGCTAATTTTTTGTATTTTCAGATGTTGGCCTGGCTGGTCTTGAATTCCTGACCTTGTGATCCGCCCACCATGACCTCCCAAAGAGCTGGGATTACAGGCGTGAGCCACTGTGCCTGACCCATTCTATGGTGTTTGCAATTTGAACAATCAGGGTAGAAGTAACTCACTCTTGTCAGCCAGATAAAAGTGGAGAAGTCACACTTCTCCACACAGGTGTGGCCTTGGGGAATGCCAAAATTGTAATCAAGAAGAAAAGAATAACAGAGGTTCCAGAATCACCAAAAATAAACTTCATAATTGGTCATCCTGAAAAATCTCCAAATATGTTTTTCAGGAATGCCACAAGTAAAATGTAATTACACTTTCTTGTATAGTTATCTTTTTTTTTTTTTTTTTTTTTTTTTTTTTGAGGCGGGGTTTTGTTACCCAGGCTGGAGTGCAATGGCGCAATCTCGGCTCACCGCAACCTCCATCTCGTGGGTTCAGGCAATTCTCCTGCCTCAGCCTCCTGAGTAGCTGGGATTACAGGCACGCGCCACCATGCCCAGCTAATTTTTTGTAGCTTTAGTAGAGACGGGGTTTCACCATGTTGACCAGGATGGTCTCGATCTCTTGACCTCGTGATCCACCCGCCTCGGCCTCC